GGCGAACTCTGGTCCTTTAGTAGCGACACTTGGAAATCAGGCTGTGTTCAGATTGTCAGCCACCTGTGAAGAAGCCCACTCATCAGGGTGTGGTGTCTGCTCCTTTTGTCTTTAGCCGGTGGACAAGCCATAATGCGCATGCTAATTAATAGCTGTTCAAGTTACTTGTTTATCTCCTCTCCCTTTCCCTTCAGTGTGGATATTTTATTCAATGAAAATATATTGTTTCTGTTGAATTAAGGCTGCTGTCATGCGCACCCACGTGTGTATGTGTGTGTGTGAGAGAGAGAGGGAGAGAAGAAACTAATGTGGCTCAAATTTTGCAATATATTCAGGGAACTTTAACAAACTCCTTTTTAAGCCTATTCCCACTTAATGCTGTCTGTATGTAATCCATTTCATTAATCTCTGGCTTATTTATTTATTAAAGATTTATTTATTTATTTGAAAGTCAGAGTTATACACAGTGAGAGGAGAGGCAGAGAGAGAGGTCTTCCATCTGCTGGTTCACTCCCCAGAAGGCCACAATGGCTGGACCTGTGCCGATTCGAAGCCAGGAGCTTCTTCCAGGTCTCCCACTTGAGTGCAGGAGCCCAGGGACTTGGGTCATCTTCTAGTGCTTTCCAGGACCGTAGCAGAGAGCTGGATCGGAAGTGGAGCAGCAGGGACTAGAACCGGTGCCCATATGCATTAGCAGGAAGCTGGGTCGCCAACCAACTCTGATAGGGCTGGGGTGCATGAGTCCTAAGAGGTGGCTTAACCTGCTGTGTCATAATACCTGCACTCCTTTTGTTTGTTTTTGTCCAGATGAGCAGATATATGTATATTTTCCTATTTCCCTGCCGCCCCCCCCCCCCCCCTTTTGAAGATTTACTTATTTATTTGAAAGGCAGAGTTAGGGGACCGGTGTTGTGGTGCAGTAGGTTAATCCTCCGCCTGTGGTGCCGACATCCCATATGAGCGCCAGGCTGCTTCTCTTCCGATCCAGCTCTCCGCTGTGGCCTGGAAAGCAGTAGAAGAAAATGGCCCAAGTCCTTGGGTCCCTGCACCCATATGGCAGACCGGGAAGAAGCACCTGGCTCCTGGCTTCAGATCAACGCAGCTCTGACCCTTGCAGCCACTGGGGAGTGAACCAACGGATGGAAGGCCTTTCTCTCTGTTTCTCCCTCTCACTGTCTGTAACTTTACCTCTCAAATAAATAAATAAAATCTTTTTTTTTTTTTTTTTTTTGACAGGCAGAGTGGACAGTGAGAGAGAGACAGAGAGAAAGGTCTTCCTTTTGCTGTTGGTTCACCCTCTGATGGCCGCTGCGGCCGGCGCACCTCGCTGATCTGAAGCCAGGAGCCGGGTGCTTTTCCTGGTCTCCCATGGGGTGCAGGGCCCAAGGACCTGGGCCATCCTCCACTGCACTCCCGGGCCACAGCAGAGAGCTGGCCTGGAAGAGGGGCAACCGGGACAGAATCTGGCGCCCCGACCGGGACTAGAACCTGGTGTACTGGCGCCGCAAGGCGGAGGATTAGCCTACTGAGCCATGGCGCCAGCCAATAAATAAAATCTTAAAAAAAAAAGAGAAAGGCAGACTTAGAGGAGAGGCAAAGAGAGAGATCTTCCCTCCGCTGGTTCACTCCCCACATGGCTGCAATGATCAGGGCTGGGCTAGGCTGAAACTAAGAGGAGCTTCGGGGTCTCCCACATGAGTGTCAGGACCCAGGGACTTTGCTGTCTTCTCCTGTACCCTGGCACAGTAGAGCGTTGATTGGGAAGAAGAGCAGCTGGGACTGCAGATGGTGGCTTAACCTGCTGTGCCACAGCACTGGCCCCAATTTCCCTTTGGTTCTTAACACAAAAAATAGGATACTACACTCTGTTTTTTTTTTTTTTTTTTTTTTTTTTTTTTTTTTTTTTTGTACTTTTTTAACTTATTCTTTGAAATTACTCCACATTAGTTCATGGTCTTTACACTTTTTAAAAAAATTTATTTGAAAGACAGCAACAGAGAGGGAAAGAGATTCCATTTCCTGTTCACTTTTCCAACAGCCGGGGCTGGGTCAAGCCAAAACCAGGATCCAGGAACTCCATCTGAGTCTCCCCTGTGGGTGGCAGGGACCCACACACTTGGGACCATCATCCTCCGCTTCCCAGGGTGCATGTTAGCAGGAAGCAGGATGAGAAACAAAGCCTAGACTTGAATCCAGGCACTCCAGCTACAGCTTACGGATGTCCTTTCCAGCAAGTTCATCCATGGAGCCGCAATACCTGCCCCTCTTCACTTGTGTGTGTTGTTACAGTTGCTTAGTACTTCATCATGCAGGTGTTCAGTATCTGTATACAGGCATTTGATTTGTCTCTGTTTTACACAGTTCTAAATAGTGCTGGAGTGAGTAAGCTAATGCACATACTCATCATCGGAGGTGTTATCTTGGTGAATTCTTGGAAGTGAGAGTGCTGGATGAAAGTAGCCATACATGTGATTTTGTCAGGCTGTAAAACCCTCTTCCATGACAGTTTGCATTCCCATTAGCAGTGTATCCATTCCTGTTTTTCCACAGCTTCACATACTGGATATTTTGTTGTACTTTCTCTGTTTTGCTAATCTTACAGGTAAGAAGTAGATGAAAATGGTATCATTTTATAGTTTTGGTTTGTAAATCTCTTATGAAAGCATGATAAACATTTTTTTAAAGATTTATTTATTTGAAATGCAGAGTGATCTTGAGAGGGAAAAACAAGAAGGCCGGGGCAGTGGTGTAGAGGGTTAGGCCTCTGCCTACGGCACTGGCATCCCATATGGGCACCCGGCGGCTCCACTTCCGATCCAGCTCCCTGCTTATGGTCTTGGAAACCAGTGGAAGATGACCCCAGCCATTGGGCCCTGGTAACCACTTGAGGGACCAGAAAGAATCTCCTGGCTTCAGATCAGCCCAGCTCCGCCGTTGTGTTTGAGAAGTGAACCGGCAGATGGAAGACCTCTCTCTGCCTCTCTCTGTCTTATCTGTAACTCTGCCTCTCAAATAAATAAATAAATCCTTCAAAAAGGGGGGGGGTGGAAGAAAAAGATAAACAGATCCTTCCATCCACTGGTTCACTTCCTAAGTGGCCACAATGGTTAGGGCTGGAACTCCATGCTGCTTTTCCAGGTGCATTAGCAGTGAGCTGGATGGTGGTTCTTTTTTAAAATTTATTTGACAGAGTTAGTGAAAGAGACAGACAGAAAGGTCTTCCTTCCGTTGGTTCACCCCCTAAATGGCCGCCACAGCCAGAGCTATGCGGATCCGAAGCCAGGAGCCAGGTGCTCCCCACCTCCTCTACCCCCCATCTCCCATGCAGGTGCAGGGGCCCAAGCACTTGGGCCATCCTCCACTGCCTTCCCGGGCCACAGCAGAGGCTGGACTGGAAGAGGGGCAACCAGGACTAGAACCCAGCACCCATATGGGATGCTGGTGGAGGATTAACCTAGTGAGCCACGGGGCTGGCCCCTGGATGGTTCTTGAACTGGTGCTCTGGTATGGGATGCCAGCATCTCAAGCTGCAGCTCAACCCCACTGTGCCATATGCCAGCTCTCTTAAACAGCATTATTGAGACATAATTCATGTATCATGCTGTTCACCCATTTAAAGCATAAAAACACTTTTTAAAACATTCATGGGCCAGTGCTACAGCTCACTAGGGTAATCCTACACCTGCGGTGCTGGCACCCCGGGTTCTAGTCCCGGTTGCGACGCTGGATTCTGTCCTGGTTGCTCCTCTTTCAGTCCAGCTCTCTGCTGTGGCCCGGGAAGGCGTTGGATGATGGCCCAAGTGCTTGCGCCCTGCACCCACATGGGAGACCAGGAGGAAGCACCTGGCTCCTGGCTTCGGATCGGCGCAGCGTGCCGGCCGTAGCGGCCATTTGGGGGGTGAACCAATGGAAGGAAGACCTTTGTCTCTCTCTCATGTCTAACTCTGCCTGTCAAAAAAAAATAATAAAAAATCATGGTGAATTGAATCAAAAGGTAAGTTTATTTGAGTGCAAGCAATTCTGAGATCTGTACATAGTTTTTTTCATAACACATATTTTCTATAAGTATTTTTGAAGACCTCTTATGCATTGATTTTTTAAAAATTTACACCAAAATAAATGCATTTTTAAATGATTATTTATTTATGTATTTATTTGAGAGGTAGAGTTAGAGAGGGAGTGACCAAGAGAAAGGTCTTCATCCACTGGTTCACTCCCTAAATGGTCTTGACGGCTGGTGCTGAGCCTATCTGAAGCCAGGAGCTTGTTCCGGTCTGACTTGAGGGTGCAAGGGCCCAAGCGCTTGGACCATCTTCTGCTGCTTTTCCAGACCATTGCAGAGAGCTGGATCAGAGGAGCAGCAGCCGGGACATGAACTGGCAACCATAGGATATGCCAGGGCCTCAGGCAGAGGCTTAGCCTACTACGCTGAAGTACCAGCCCCAATAAATGCATTTTTATAGTCCATTTTCCATGAACTTTTTGAAGTTTTCTCATACAATTTGATGGTTCTTACTTATATTCACAGACTTATGCAACTTTTAACAATTTAAAACATTAATTTATTTGAGAGAGAGAGAGAGAGCCATAGAGACTGACCTTCCATCCACTGGGTCACTCTTCAGTTGCCTGCAGTGTCCAGGGCTGGGACAGGTGGATGCAGGAGCCAGGGTCAGAGTTTGCCATAATGGGGGCAGGGCCCAGCCACGTGAGTGACTACCCCTGCCTCCAGGTCGCACACTGGAAGGAAGCCGGGATGGAGAACGAGTCCAGCGCATCCACCTAAGCAGCACCATGTGAGACGCGGGAGTCCCAAGCAACTTAACCACTTAAGCACTGCACCAGAACCTCCACCCACCAGTTGTGCACCTGTCAGCACAATCCATTCTGGAACGTTTTCTCCACATAGGAAAGCAACTGCATAGCCATTAGTCTTTTCCCATGTCTTCCCCCACCCCACCAGGCATTTTAAAATTAAGCAATATATTTTTTTTTAATAGACGAAACTGCAAAGGAAATCCGAATTGTTTGGTTGGGATTGGTGAGCATATCTGGTTAGGAGAAATAGATGAAAATAGTTTTCATAACATCGATGATCCCAACTGTGAGAGGAGAAAAAAGGTAAGCCGTCTTTTTTCTGAATGGTTGCTGTATGGTATTTTTTGCTTTTGTTTTATATCTTTTATCAGAAACTAATATTGATTTCAGATAACCTATGCAGCTATAAGATAAATAGTGGAACTTAAGACTCTAAACCTCTTGAATTGAAACAGTTCTTAATTGATATGCTTTTAAATAGGTAGCTATATAATCCAGTAAGCTTTTAAATAATATTGTTTAAATTCTGATTCTGTCTTTGCTTTAGCATTATGTGCCTTTCATTTTGAACTCTCTTTAAAAGTGTCCACCAAGAAGATAGTATGCAAGAGAATGAGCTTCACAGTGATGCATCTTTGCTTTCTAGTATTTATATTTTGTGTATTTGAATTTTATTTTTCTTTTTTAAAAAGTACACAATATTTTCTAACCATAAAGCCTGACATTCACAAAATAGCTTTGTTGTTTTAGTTATTTTGTCTATTATAAAACACGAGTTTGTAAATTCAGGAATTCTTGACCTTGTCTGAAGAAATTGCCTGACCCCTATCTTCTAATCTCCTAAATCTTTAGGATATAAAGTCATTTTTCTATATGTTTTGCTTTGTCTTTCTATGGAATGCTGACAGTTAGGAACATAGCAAATGAAAAACTTGTCTGTACATGTTCAAAACTGAATCTTTCTAGAATCCACTGTTCCAGCGTTAGATTTAAGTGGCTGAAGAAGCCAATATGCTAGAGGTGAAAAGGGGTGACGCCTGAAGTTTCCCCCACTCCTGTGTTCAAGCCACAGTGGGGTTTTCATGAAAATTATGGCCCACCTCCAGCCACGAGAGGCTTAAGATGGGATGTGTTTGTTGAGACAGACTTAACTATTTTTAATCTGAAAATTTAGAAATAGCGCTTCTCATAAAAATTTGTGTATATTTTATAATTGTCAACTTTGTTATTTTGTAGAACTCCTTTGTGGGCCTGACAAACCTTGGAGCTACTTGTTATGTCAACACATTTCTTCAAGTATGGTTTCTCAACTTGGAGCTTCGGCAGGCACTGTACTTATGTCCAAGTACCTGTAGTGACTACATGATGGGAGATGGTGTTCAAGAGGAGAGAGGTTGGTGGGGATGGGTCTGGGAGAGCTTGTGCGCCTATCTAGATCACTTCTGAACCAACAAAAAGGGAGGAAACATAAGTGCTTGTTATTGCCAGGCATGTTGCTAGGTCTTTTATAAACAGGATTCAAATTAGTTGCCTTTTTTTAACTATCATTTATGTGCCAAAGTGTCCAATAGTCTAATGCAGGAAGCACATTTGATTATATCAATCAATAGGGGCTGACACTATAGTGTAGTAGTTCAAGCCGCTGCCTGCAGCTCTGGCATCCCATATGGGTGGGTTGGAGTCTCAGCTGTTCGGTTTCTAATCCAGCTCCCTGCTAACACACCTGGAAAAGCAACAGAAGATGGCTCGAGTGATTGAGCCACCCACGACCCAGAAAAAACTGGCTCCTGGCTCCTGGCTCCTGGCCTGGCCCCTACTGCCATTTGGAAGTAAACTAGCAGATGGAAGGTCTCTCTCTCTCTCTCTCTCTCTCCCGCCACTCCCTCTCCCACCTCCTTTCCTCTCCCCCCTCCCTTCCTCTCCCTCCTTCTCTCTCTGTAACCTTATCTTTCAAATAAATAAATAAATCTTTTTTATACCAATAAGGCAGAGAAGGTTATTCTTTTGCCTTGTTGGAGGTAACAATAATGCTATCTCAATGTAACCACAATCTTTGGCCTGATTCCCAAATAGGGTGTCTTAAATGACATTCTCAAAAATTATGACTCAACAAATTGACCATGGCACAATCTGCCACTCATATGATCCTGCACTCATTGTAAATTTACAGAGTGCATCTCAGACTGCTTCTATTGGAATACATATCTTGTTTCCTATATAGTATGTAGCTGTCTTGCTAAATTAGTTCATTTTTAGAAAGTCTTCTCTTTGTGTTGAAGCTCCCATGGAGCAAGCCATATTGTTCCCCTTCTCACAACTGGGGGTTGGTGGGACAGGTGACTAAGATGATATAGGTCTGAGAGCTCCAACGTGGGAACTTCTGGCCCCTGCTCCCATCCATAAATACTTTGTTGTCTTTTTTTTTTTTTTTAATCTGGTTTGGGTGCATAGTCAATGTCCTTGGTTCCACATCATTTTGCAGTCCCCTCAACAGAGGTGACACTTCAGAGTCTTGGTTCTAGTTAATAGTACTTTTTGCTTCAGAACACAGGATTTAAATTTTTTTTCCTTTGGTCTTTATTTATTTGAAAGGCAGAGAGAAAGAGAGATCAGCCTTCCATCTGCTGCTTCACACTCAAGATAGACATAATGGATAGGACTGGGCCAGGCCAAAGCCAGGAGCCAGAACTCCATCCTGGTCTCCCACATGGGTGGCAGGGTCCCAGGTACTTGGATCATTTTCTACTGCTTTCCAGGTGCATTAGCAGGGGGCGGGATGGAAGCAGAGCAGCAGGGACCTGAACCAACACTCCAACATGGGATGCTGACCCCTAAAAGTTCTTTATAAGGTTGTTTCCCTGAAGAGATGTATATCATTAGTCTGGTATATCTGGGAAAAAAAAAAAAGTAAAATTTGTTTTCTCAAAGCTTCATTCCTGTATTCCTGGATATTTAAATATGGACCAGTAGTAAGTAGCAAAGGAGATGCTAGGCCCTGGAACCCTCTACAGTCACCTGGCAGGGTTTCCGGCAGGGTGATCATTCAAGAAGTGCCTGATGGGAGCAGATGTGGGGAAAGCTGCGGGGTTCTGGAGCTCTGGGAAAAGCAGACCTGCTGGAGGCTGGTGAGGGAGGTACACTTGACCCTCTAGTGCCCCCACTGACATGACTTCACCTCTCAACAGCTGCCCAGGAGAAATACTTGCAAACTCAGCTCTCTCCCTCTCCCTCTCTCTCTCTCTCAAAGATTTATTTATTTATTTGAAAGTCGGTTACAGAGAGAGGGGGAAAAAGAGAGAGAGAGAGAGAGAGAGAGAGAGAGAGAGAGATATCTTCCATCCGCTGGTTCACTCCCCAGATGGCCACAATGGCCAAGCAGGAGCCAAGAACTTCATCTGGTTCTCCCAAGTGTGTGGCAGGGGCCCAAGCACCTGGGGCCATTTTTTGTTGTTTTTCCCAGAGCATAAGCAGGGAGCTAGATTGGAAGCGGAGCAGCCAGGACTTGAACCAGTGCCCACATGGGATGCTGGTGTCACAGGCAATGGCTTTACATGCTGTGCCACAACACCAGCTCCCAAAACTCATCTTTTATTGCAGAGCAGGAAAGAAGGGTGGATTTGGAGCTGAGAAGCATAAATTAATAACTGATCAGAAAAGACAACTTGGGCAGGTATTTGGCAAAGCAGTTAAGTAACTGCAATGCCTATATCACATATTGGAGTCTAGTTCAAGTCCTGGCACCTTCTCTATTCATCCAGCTTCCTGCTAATGCATCGCTTGGGAGGCAGCAGGTGATGTCCCAAGTACTTAGATCTCCTGCTACCACATGGGACATCCCGATGGAGTTCTGGGCTCCTGACTCGAGCCTGCTCCAGCCCTGGCTATTGCAGGCATCTGGGGAGTGACCGTGGATGGGAACATCTGTCTCATCTCTCTCTGGCTTTCAAATAAAATGAAAATAAATTAAAAAATTTGAAAAAGAAGAACCATGCTTCCCATTTGTATACCCTCCCCAACTTACTGAAATTCGCAGTTCTAAAATTCTAGGATTTTTACTGTGCTTGAGAGTCCTGTCTTGTGTTTGTGGAATGTCTGTATTAAGAAGATTATTTTAAAGTATTTGGTCATGTATCTTATGCATATGGTAAATATAGTAGATAGTTATTATGGAGTGGATGTTATCTGACACTCCGGAAACTAGTCATGATTGCTCTTGTTACTGTAATGAAGGTACAAACTTTTGCCTTCACGGGATGTATATAGACAGTGTGGGCTGCCTCATTTTTCTTTCTTTTTTTTTTTTTTAATTATATTTTAAGATGTATTTATTTACTTGAAAGGCAGAGTTACAGAGAGAGAGAGGATGAGACAGAGATCTTCCATCTGTTGGTTCACTTCCTAAATGGCTGCAGTGGCAGGAGCTGAGCCAGGCCAAAGCCAGAACCTGGGTTGCTCACGTGAGTAGCAGGGATCCAGGCACCTGAGCCCTCATCTGCTGCTTTCTCAAGCACATTTAGCATGGAGCTGGATCAGAAGTAGAGCAGCTGGGACTAGAACCAATGCTCTGACGGGATGGTGGCACCCCAAGCTGCGACTTAATCTGCTGTGCCGTAACACCAGGCCCTTTTGTTTGTTTGTTTGTTTGTTTGTTTTTTAGATTTGTTTTAATTATTTGAAAGAGTTAGAGACGTAGAGACAGAAAAGAGAAAAGAGAGAGAGGTCTTCCATCCGCTGGTTCACTCCCTAAATGGCCACATCTGCCTGGTGGAGCTGAGCCAATCCGGAGCCAGGAGCCAGGAGCCTACTCCAGGTCTCCCATGGGGGTACAGGGGCCCAACAACTTAGGCTATCTTCTATGACTTTCCCAGGGGCATTAGCAGGGAGCTGATCAGAAGAGGAGCAACCGGGACACAAACTGGCACCCACATGGAATGCCAGCACTGCAGGCCAGGGCTTTAACCCACTGCGCCACAGGACTGGCCCCTCTTTTGTTTCATTTCAAGTTTAAAATGATAATAAAAGATTGACGTAGTTTAGATATAAGAGATTTAATGTTCTCACGTGAAGGAGTAACATCTTTTACAAATAAAAGTAGTAACTTTTAAAAAATTTTTTTCTTTTAATAGATTATGAGCCTCAGACAATTTGCGAGCACCTCCAGTACTTGTTTGCTTTGTTGCAAAACAGTAACAGGCGATATATTGATCCGTCGGGATTTGTTAAAGCCTTGGGTTTGGATACCGGCCAACAGCAGGTAAGAACTTCTTTTTTTCTTTTTTAAAAGATTTATTTATTTATTTGAAAGGCAGAGTTAGAGAGAGGCAGATGTAGAGAGAGAGGTGTCTTCCATTCGCTGGTTTACTCCCCAAATGGCTGTAACAGATGGAGCTGCATAGATCCAAAGCCAGGAGCCAGGAGCTTCTTCAAGGTTCCCAAGCAAATACAGGGGAATACAGGGGCTGGCACTGCAGGCAGTGGCTTTACCCACTATGCCACAGCACCGGCGCCAGCTTTTTTTCTTTTTAAAAAATACTCAGAGGCCCCAAGCATTCCTTAGAATGTTTGTAAAGCGGGATGGCATGGAAAGTTTAAGATTAACTAAGATTAAATTTATGTTATACATTATTCCATCTCTGAAAATTGTTACATAGGCACAAATTGGTTCAACATAGCTGTAGTCCTTTTTGAATACCAAGTTGAAATTACAGGTAGTTTCTAAAAGGTTTACTTTTACTAGTGTTGTATTAGAAGTTTGAAAAGATACAGTTTTTTGTTTTTTTTTTTTTTTTTTTTTGTATTAATCCAAACTTGCAGGATGCCCAAGAATTTTCGAAGCTCTTTATGTCTCTATTGGAAGATACTTTATCTAAACAAAAGAATCCAGATGTGCGGAACATTGTCCAACAGCAGTTCTGTGGAGAGTATGCTTATGTAACTGTGTAAGTGTATTTCAGCTCTTTCATGGTACATTTTATTCTAAGGCAGTTGATCATATGTTGCCTAATTTTTAGTTCTATTCCAAGTTATAGCTTTAGAGGGTTATCATGGGACTGAAATATTTATAGCAGCACATTTCCATGGGAACATGTAAACAACTGACTTGATAATTGCAATTGAATCCGTCCAGGTGTTGGGAACTGTGTCTGGTTGAGCTCTTGCCATCTGCTTTATTGGCTTTGTGGTAAGATTGGAGCTGGCTAGAATGCTAAGAGTAGATATCTAAAATACCTTATAAAAATGTCCTACTCATTAAATACATAGCCCACTAGTAGTAATTTCATGTTAATTATTTTTTAGTATCCATAGTATAAATTGTATGTAAGAAAGCTAATTAATCTTATAAATGTTTCTTTCCATCTTTCTCAAATGCAGCATAGTAGAACTTTATCGCTTTCCCCACTTTGATGTTAATTTTATTACTCTATTTTATTATAGTTGCAATCAGTGTGGAAGAGAGTCTAAGCTTTTATCAAAGTTTTATGAACTGGAATTAAATATCCAAGGCCACAAACAGTTAACAGACTGTATCTCGGAATTTTTGAAGGTATTCACATTTTGGTACACATATATTATCTCTGCTTGTTAATGATCAGTGCTGTTCTGAATGGTAATTTGATTTAATGGATACATTAATTATTTCAGCTTTTCCTGTGTGAGAAGTGTCTGTAGTTAATGATCTAGAAGAGAAACCTAGTAAAGTACTGAAGCAGGCTGCATCTTAAACTAATTTTTGGCTACTCCAAATTATTTTATATGTAAAGTTGTATATTTGTGGAAACAGGTTATTGTATGGTTGGGGTAGAAAGGTAGTTAAGGAAATGTAAACTCTGCTACCTTAAAGTTTATTTGCCTTTTCATGTAATGAGAAGTGAATGTGTTGAGTGTGTGTATATATGTATTTACACCGGTGGGGTCATTCTTCAGCCTCTTTGTTCTGAATTTCTACTCCTTGTGTATTTGGAGGTATATGGAATTATGGAGGTGGTTTCCTTTTGTTCTCCCCTGCTAAGGGGGAACCTGTGTTATCAAGCATGAGCAGACACAAAGCTTAATAGAGGGATTTATTACACAGCTTCCTGTCTTAGTCTTTTCCCACTTTTCCTACTCCTGGCACACCCACCAGCATGCCTGAAGTTGTAATTTACTGAATGCAATCAGCTAAATATCGGCTGAGAGCACCGTTTCACCTGTTGGAGGTAACGATTGTGAGAAAAACAGACAAAGGAGGCCTCTGTGGGGCTCATGGTGCAGTGAGATAAATAAAAGTGAAATACACAGTATATACAGTATGTCAGCTCTAAGGTGCTGGGCAGTGTGGCAGGCATAAGGGTGAGTTGGGTTTAATTTGAATCAAAGTGACGAGGCGAAAGAGTGAGCTGTGTGAGAATCAGGGAGAAGAGTGGTGACCTCCTTGCTCGTCCCCTAACCACAGGACTAGAGTGAGTAAGCGAGGGGAGATGGGTGAAGTTCACGTCAGAGGTAGGAAAGGGTCCCCTCAGGTGGGTCCTGAAGACCTTTGCTAGCATTTGAATTTTCACTGTGCTTGAGGTTGAGGTGCCACTGGGGATTACAAGCATAGGAGTGATGCCAGTCTGTGAGCAGGGTAACTGGGCTGAAGGTAGCGCAAGGGCAGACAGAAGGGGCCCTCCTAACTTGGAACAGGCTTAGCTGGAAAGATAAATAGTGCTTGGTGTTTGGATGTATTTTCAAAGTAGAGCTGATAAAACTTGTGGACTTTATGGAGAGAAAGAGGAAGGTCAAGGCCTACTAAGGTTTTTGATTTGATCAACTAGGCAAAGGGAGGTACCATGCAGAGATGAGGGAGACCATTGGAGCAGCAGGGTGGGAGAAGAATGAGGAGTTTGTCTTTAGCGTGCTGCATTTGAGAAATGTAGTTCAAGGGGGGAGAAGTCAAGGCTGGATAAAATCACTAAGGGAGTGGAGAGAGATGGGTACCAAGGGCTGCACGTGGGACATCCCAGGGATAAAGGATCAGGTAGATCAGAGCAGCTGGCAAAGGATGCATTGGAGGAATAGGAATGGCCGGTGAGTTAGGAGGAAGACAGGTGAGTGGTATCCTGGAAGGCAAGTGAGGCAGTGATGGCGCCAGCACTGCATCGTTTACTGTAGCACTCCCTGTCGAAAAGCCATCGCAGATATCAAAGTGTTTTGTTTTGTTTTGTTTTTAAGATTTTTATTTATTTATTTGACAGGTAGAGTTATAGACAGTGAGAGGGAGAGACAGAGAAAGGTCTTCCTTCTGTTGGTTTACTCCCCAAATGGCCGCTACGGCCAGAGCTGCACTGATCTAAAGCCAGGAGCCAGGTGCTTCCTCCTGGTCTCCCATGCGGGTGCAGCGCCCAAGCACTTGGGCCACCCTCCACTGCCTTCCCAGGCCACAGCAGAGAGCTGGACTAGAAGAGGAGCAGCCAGGACTAGAACCCGGTGCCCATATGGGATGCCGGCACTGCAGGCGGAGGATTAACCAAGTGAGCCACCACGCTGGCCCCTATATCAAAGTTTTTTGTAAGATTTTATTTATTTATTTGACAGGTGGTAGAGTTACAGATAGTAAGAGAGAGACAAACAGAAAGGTCTTCCTTCTGTTGGCTCACTGCCCAAATGGTCGCAATGGCCAGAACTGCGCGGATCCGAAGCCAGGAGCCAGGAGCTTCCTCTAGGTCTCCCATGTGGGTGTAGGGGGCCAAGCACTTGGGCCATCCTTCACTGCTATCCCAGGCCACAGCAGAGAGCTGGACTGGAAGAGGAGCAAACGGGACTAGAACTGGTGCCCACATGGGATGCCGGCTCCGCAGGAAGAGGATTAACCTAGTGCGCCATGGTGCCGTTCCCCCCCCCCCCCCATGTTAAAGTTTTAAAACCCACTGTCAGGTAGTTTCTGCATTCTTTTATTAGCTTTGTCTCATAAATATTATCTAATAATACTGACCACATATATGTTGCATTCTAGTGTCCATATGTAGTTTATACCCAGTTTTGTCACTGCTTTTTTTTAAAGTTAATTTGTTTCAAAGTACATATTGACAACCTTTTTATAACCTACTGCCTTAGAATTTCCAGAAGTGGAATTAATCAGGATAAAGAACTTGAAACAAGCATTTGAAAAAGCATTCAAGTTGGAAATAGGTTAGTTTTAAATAGCATTGTATACAGATTAATAGTATCACTATTAAGCAGTGCCTGTTAATCATGCATATCCTTTATAGTAATTTGATTTTTTTATTATTATTTTTTTAAATTTTTGACAGAGTGGACGGTGAGAGAGAGAGAGACAGAAAGGTCTTCCTTTGCCGTTGGTTACCCTCCAATGGCTGCCGCGGCCTGCGCGCTTATCCTGGTCTCCCATGGGGTGCAGGGCCCAAGCACCTGGGCCATCCTCCACTGCACTCTCGGGCCACAGCAGAGAGCTGGCCTGGAAGAGGGGCAACCGGGACAGAATCCGGCAACCCGACCGGGACTAGAACCCGGTGTGCCGGCGCCACAAGGCGGAGGATAAGCCTATTGAGCCGCGGCATCGGCCAGTAATTTGATTTTAAACAGTTTGAATATAAGGTGTTAAGTAAAAATTGTGCTTTATGTAAGAGATCTCATCACTTGTTCTTAATTTTTTTTTTTTCCTGTTAAACTGATATGTCTTATTCTTGATCAGGAAGAAAAATTGGAAGGAGACAATCGATATTTTTGTGAAAACTGTCAAAGCAAGCAGAACGCAACGAGGAAGATCCGACTTCTTAGCCTTCCGTGTACTCTGAACTTACAGCTGATGCGTTTTGTCTTTGACAGGTAAATATGGGCAGGTAGTAGTTTTCATTGTTCACTGAGGGCTGACATGCACAGAATTTTACCATAGCCAAGACAATAAGATGATTGTAATTTAAAACTCTAGATCTGGAGCAGAACTTATAGGTGGAACCTGTAATTTTGACATGTCAATATTTCATGATTTTGTCATAGAATTATTTTAAGATTTATTGTATTTATTTGAAAGGCAGAGAGAGAGAGAAGTCTTCCATACACTGGTCACCCCCTAGGCTGAAGCGCCCATGTGGTTGCAGGGGCCCAAGCACTTGGGCCATCTTCTGCTGCCTTCCCAAGGTGCATTAGCAGGGAGATGGATCAGAAGTGGAGCACCAGGACTCAAACCAGTGCCCATGTGGGATGCCAGCATTGCAGGCAGCAGCTTTACCCACCAAATCACAACTGCAGCCCCTCATCTAATTCTGAAGCAATCAGCGAGATAAAACTAGGGAACCAGGAAAGGAGGGCTCCTTACTTTTGTATTCTAAGGAATTATTAATGGCAGGGAGCTTAGTTACCTTGTAAGAAAATTTTTTGCTCATTATAGTGTTCCTTCCTCCTTAATTTCTTGAGAATTTTTCATTTTACAATTAAAAATCAAGGCAATGTTCGCACATGTACGTGTCTTTAATAAGTAGGAGTCTGCTTTTCTTCTGTGATTAAATTAAAGCTGGGGGGATAGGTTGTTTGGGATTGGCACTATGAATTCATAACTTTTAACCTAGCTATAAAATAGCATTATGTTTTAATCATACAGATTTTTGATCAACATTGCTAAAATTGGAAATCTAGCTTCTAATACATTTATCAAGGCAGTCAATAGAGATTGTACATTGTTTTATGATGGTTTTAGATATAATCAGCTTTCCTCTTGGTCAGGCAAACTGGACATAAGAAAAAGCTGAATACCTACATTGGCTTCTCAGAAATGCTGGATATGGAGCCTTATGTGGAACACAAAGGTAACATTTTCCCTGAGTGGTGAGAATTGTGACGTACAGACGCAGGAGCTTGTGAGATGCTTGTGATGACACAAAATTGCCGTTTACTGGTTTTCTCTGCTTATCTCTGTTAGCAAGCAAAGACTTTAAGTAAATGGAGATTTTACTTCCATTTTCTGTGGGTAAATACCTAACATTGATTAGCTAGTAATTATAGTCATAAAAAGAATTTGTAAAAAATAAAAAGGGGAGGTGGGGGTGTAGCCTAGTAGCAGTTAAGATGTCTGTGTCTCATTGGAATTCCTGTTGTATACCCAACTCCAACTCTTGATTCCATCTTCCTGCTGTTGTGCACCATGGGAGGCAGCAGGTGATAACTCAAGTACTTGGGCCCCAGACACCCGCGTGAGAAACCCTGATGGAGTTCCTGGCTTCTGGCTTCAGCCTGTTCCATCTGGGCTGTTGTGGGCATTTGGAGAGTGAACCAACAAGTTCCTCCCTCCATCTCTTTCTCTCTGCCTGCCTCTCTTTGTCTGTCTGTCTCTCTCGGATGAATAAAAATAAATACACTTTCTTTTTTAAAGAGCTTTTTAAAAAAGATTTATTTATTTATCTGAAAGGCAGAGTTAGAGAGAGAGAGAAAATCTTCCATTTACTGGTTCATAAATGGCTGGGCTGGGCCAGACTGAAGCCAGGACCCAGGAGCTTCATCCAGTCTTTCACAGCCCAAGTGCTTGGGCAGGGAAGCTGGAAGCTGGATCAAAAGTGGAACAGTTGGTCATCCCATGTGGGATGCTGGCATCAAAGGTGGTGGCTTTACTTGCTACACCATAATGCCCACCCCAAATGGTATGTTTTTGAGAAGGGGAGTACTCGGGGCTGGCACTGTGGCGTGGAAGGTGAAGCCTCCGCCTACAGTGCTGGCATCCCATGGACTCCGGTTCAATTCCCAGCTATTCTACTTCCGATCCAGCTTCCTGCTAATGCATCTGGGAAAGTAGTGGAAGGTGGTCCAAGTCCTTGGGCTCCTGGCTTCTGCCTGGCCTAGCTCTGGCTGTTGCAGCCATCTGGGGAGTGAACCAGCCGATGGAAGATCTCTCTTTCTCTCTCTCTTTGTCTCTGTCTCTCTGTGTGTCTCTGCCTTTCAAATAAATAAGTAAATCTTTGTGGAAAAAAAGAGAGAACTCATGTTTTCTTAAAGATGGAGCCTACAGATTTCGAGAGATCTGTATGTAAAATGAGGGATCCTCATTCTTTGGACAGTAACACCTGAATCTCTAATGTAGCGTCTGCCGTATTTCTTGGGGATTTTAAAAATACCATAATTACGAAGTTTATGAACATAGTGATTTGATGAGCATAAATTCAGGTTATCTGATAGGAAAACTTCTTGCAGTCAGTCAGTGTACTCATTAATAATGTGGGGACACTATTAAGAGCTGTAGACAATCCTTTCAGTGACCTGAAAGTTCTTTCAGTGAGTGGTCTTGTCTTTTACCCTCCTGAGTGCCATACCCTCCCTGTTTTTTTGCATAGTTTTGGTTTTCTCTTTTTTTTATTATTATTATGAAATACAACACATCCAAAAATTAAACATGCAAAAACGTATGCCACAAAGTGAACGTCTCCTTGAGCACCATCTAGATGGAGAAAAAGGTCACCAGGACCCAAAGGTACCTCGGTGCCCTCGCAGTTGTAACCTCCTTCCTGCCCTCCATGTAAGCACTTGTGCCTCCCCTTTCCCCTTTAGCCTTCTTCTACGTAAGCTTGCGTCCCTAAATAGTATAGCATCCTCCCTGCGTGTTGCCAGGCCCCAAAATTAAAACTGCAATGGACCCTTACTCTACTGCCTCTGCATCTCTACTTGTTCATCTGGGCTCCTGAGGGAAGCTGGAGACAAACGCCATTGTAGGTGGGACTCAGGCTCTCATTTCATTTTGGAGACTCACACATACTTGTCAGAAACTAATCCCACAGTTCATTCATACTTAAACACAATCACTGGCATTTCTTGTAATTCAAATTCACTGCATCACTTTTTATAGTTCTCTATTATTTGCATTAAATAAAAAGATTTATGTGTTTATTTGAAAGGCAGAGCAACAGAGATGAGGGAAAGATACAGGAATCTCCCATCTGTTGGTTCACTCCCCAAAGGCTGCATCCGCCTGGACACAAGCTAGGAGCCAAGAAGTCCATCTGGGGTCTCCCACGCGGAGTGGCAGGAACCCAAGCACTTGTATGTCATCTGCCACCACCCAGGCACATTAGCAGGAAGCTGTGTTGGAAGCAAAGTACTTGAGTCTCAACACCCACCCTCTGATATGAGACCTGGGTATCCCGCTCCTTGCAGTTGTAAAGAAACTAGAGCAACAAAGTAGTTAAAGATGTATATACATACATTCACTGCAAAGATACTGTAAAGGCCCCCCAAATGCTATAAATTTAAATGTCTGTTAACATGAGAGTGGTTTAATATGTTATTAATTATGTTAATAATTGTATGTAATCATTATATATAAGAATTTTTCAAAGATTATTTTATCTTGAGAGAGTTAGAGACGGGGAGACCGACTAAGGGGGAGAAGGAGGTCCTCTACCCCTGATTCACTCCGCACGTGACCATGATGGCCAGGGCTGAACCGGGCTGAAGCCAGGAGCTTTGTCTGGGTCTCCCATGTAGGTGGCAGGAGTCCAGTCACCTGGACTGTCTTCTGCCATTTCCAAGCCATTAGCAGGGACCTGGATTGGAAGTGGAGCAGCCAGGATGTGAACCAGAGCCTATATGATGTACTGTGTCACAGGTGTCAGCTTTACTCGCTGTGTCACAATGCCGGCTCCTGCTCTGATGTTTTCTAAAATACTTGTTTTCTTTTTTCTGGAAATAATAACTTTCATTTTATTCTTGTATTTCATTGGTTTACATAGTTTTAATTAATTTTTGTAGCATACATAATATGAACAGCTGATTCTTGGTAATCATATGGCTCACCTAGTTGGCACAGAAGGGCACAACGTGCTATAGAGTAGCTTGTCAACCCTAAATGGCCTGGATGCCATATTACTTCATCAATATGTTTTGTAGAAAGAATCGAGAGTTCATAGAGCTTTCCGCTGTAGAGAATGTCTCTGACATTATTTTTTTAGGCTGTTTTTAAAATATTACATGACAAGATTGGGAGTCTGCCAGATGCGTGTAATCTTCACCCTGCAGGCTCAGGGTCTGAGAAGAGGTGCTGTAATCCAGTGTTTGCTTTGCTTTCCCCCTTTCTCCAGGTGGGGCCTACGTGTATGAACTCAGTGCAGTCCTCATACACAGAGGAGTGAGTGCGTATTCTGGCCACTACATTGCCCACGTGAAGGACCCACAGTCTGGCGAATGGTATAAGTTTAATGATGAAGACATTGAAAAGATGGAGGGGAAGAAATTACAACTAGGGATTGAGGAAGATCTAGGTAAAACCTTTAAGTTGTGAGTGCCCTTTTACAATATAAATCTTTTTTACTGGAAATATTTGTGATAAATTATAGCTGGATTGTTGTGGATTATCAAGGATACTTATATTTCTAAGACATGAAATCACAGAACATTTTTTTAAAGCAAAGTCTACTTTAAAAAAACAACTGAAACCCTCTATTGCAAAGCTGGCTTCTCTAAGGTCGAGGGTTTGGTAAATGGGGGTGAATCAGTTTTCAATCACCAGACTGTCGGGGAGGGGTGGGACTGGGAACGGTGGGTCTTAAGGTAGAATTGATGAGTAGTAGATTTAAGGTAGTGGAATTTACTGTCCTTTTTCTTGGGTCAGGAACAATGTGTGGGAGAAGTAACCCTGTCTGTTAGGTATCCTCTCCTATCCCGTCCCTGGAGTGTGAAGAAGCAGTGAGCTGCTTACTGTTTTATTCTAGAAAGGCATAAAGAAGGAGCTTTTGAAACGTCGCCCTAGTGTTTAGTGTCACTGCCTGAGTTGTTTGACTTGGGCCAGAGTACCCATTTATTCCCAAAGGAGTGAAAAGTCTTCCAGTGGGAGCCGGATTGGCAGAGCTTTCCATCACTTCCTATCTGTCATAGTGAGTGGGGTTCTGACTTGAGAATCCAGTGTCTCCTGCCACAGTCCTTTTTGACTGGGCGGAGCCACTTTTCCAAAGTGCCCAAGAAGGGGGAGCGTGGCACTGAAGTTCGTTTTCAAGGTAGGTGGGTCATCTCTGCAGACAGAATCAGCCCTGCGTCCCTGGGTTCCACACCCTCGATCCAGCCAACCACAGGTCAAAAATAGGTGTCCTTTTTTGGTGAAAAATTGTATATATTGGACATGTATAGGCTTTCTTTTCATTGTCATTATTTTAAACAATACAGCATAACCAGTATTAATATAGCATTTATAATGTCTATAATAAAGGGATCTTCAAAGGTTTATGGGAAATGCATATTACCTTTTGAACAAGTTTATCTATATTTATTAGAAAGAGAGAGAGAGAGAGAGATCTTCCAACTACTAGTTCACTCCCCAAATGCCTGCAATAGGCAGGCTGAAACCGGAGCCGGGAACTACATCCATGTTTCTCACATGGATGGCAGAGGCCCCAGTACCAGAGCCGTTATCTGCTGCTTCCCAGCATGGGACTAGGTGGGAAGTAGAGGTGGAGCTCAATCCCAGGCACTCCTATGGGATGCTGGAATTCTATGTGGTGGCTTAACCTGCTGCAGCATAACGCCTGCCCCACATACTATTTCTTAATTACATTGAAGAGATTTATTAGTTTGAAGTATTTTTTAAAGATTTATTTTATTTATTTGAAAGACAAAGTTAGAGAGGTAGAGACAGAGAGGTAGGTCTTCCATCTGCTGGTTCACTCCCCAGATGGCCACAATGGCTGGAGCTGTGCCGAACCAAAGCCAGGAGCTTCTTCTGGGTCTCCCACTTGGGTGCAGGGGCCAAGGACTTGGGCCATCTTCCACTGCCCTTCCAGGCCATAGCAGAGAGCTGGATCGGAAGTGGAGCAACCAGGACTAGAACCAGCGCCCATATGGGATGCCAGTGCTTCAGGCCAGGGCATTATTAACCTGCTGTGCCACAGCACCAGCCCCAGTTTGAAGTATTTTTATACTGCATATTATTAGTAATCAAGAGGTGATTTAAAGTATATGTAATGTGTGTGGGATATATGCAAATATGATACCGTTTTATATACGGGACATGAACATCTGTAGATTTCTGTATCCTTGGGAAGTTTTGAAACCAGTCCCTATTGGATATCACAGGATGACTATTCATGTGGCCACTGCATTCTTGTAGCTTAAAGTAGTATTTTCTAGTTTTAAATCAATGTTTACATGTTTATAGACATTCAGTGTTCTTGTTCCTATTTTACTAATTCTAAGGTTCATAATATTTCTGTATATGTAGTTTTTTTTTTAAGATTTTATTTATTTATTTGAGAGGCAGAGTTACAGACAGAGAAAGGGAGAGATAGAGATAGATCTTCCATCCGCTGGTTCACTCCCCAAATGGCCACAATGGGCCCAATCCAAAGCCAGGAACCAGGAGCTTCTTCTGGATTTGCCACGTGAGTGCAGGGGCCCAAGTGCCCAGGCCATCCTCCACCGCCTTCCCAGGCCATAGCAGAGAGCTGGATCAGAAGAGGAGTAGCCAGGACTGGAACTGGTGCCCATGTGTAACCCGCTGTGCCACAGTGCCAGCCCCTCTTTTTTTTTTTTTTTTTTTTTTGGTGACATCCTTACTAGGTTGAAAATGCAGATGTAGCTTATAGCTGCTGGGCTGGCACTGTGGTGTAGAAGGTTAAGCCTCCGCCAGCATTGCCAGAATCACATATGGGTGCTGGTTCGAGTCCACTTGTAATCCAGCTGCCTGTTAATTCGTGTGAGAAAGCAGCAGAAGATAGCCCAAGTACACGTGGCCCCTGTACCCATGTGGGAGACCAGGAAGAAGCTCCTGGCTTCAGCCTGGCCCAGCCTCAGCTGTTGCAGCCATTTGGGTAGTGAGCCAGTGGGTATCAGATCCCTCTCTTCTGTTTGTCTCCCTCGCCCTCACCCTCGCCCTCCCTCCCCCCCCTCCCCCCCTTCTTTCTCTGTATTTCTGCCTTTCAAACAAATAAATCAATCTTTTAAACTAATTAGATCCTGGTTTTATTGGACTGTTCTTTCCTGAGGCTTATTTGCTCTGTCTTCATCTTAGAGGGCTATAGGACTGAAAGCCTTGTTTGTGCTCTTTTCTGTGTGCAGTAGCCCTCGATTTTAAAACGGCTTAAGAGAGACAGCAGGCCTGTCAGTTTCTCATTCCACTGTTTTAGTAACTTTTTATTATTTGCAGTGTATATTATAGCTTTCATTTGTTATTTTAAATGAAAAATAGAAAATACTTGTTCATTGAATTCGGTTAAGATAATCATTACTTCATTCTGTCCTGAACCTTTATGAGTCATTTCGTTTTCCATGACACACACAGTAACGGCCATCTTCAATCCTGGGGACTGGTCCCTTTGGTCCTGCTGGTGATGGTTTAGTTCCTTCCTGTTGACAGAACACTGGCTTTCAGATGTTTTTGCTCATGTGTTATCGATAAGAAAGTTGAACAATTTTTGTTACAAATGTTCCCCATTTTTTGTTTGTTTTAAGATTTATTTATTTATTTGAAAGTCAGAGTTAGAAATCTTCCATCCACTGATTTCACTCCCCAGATGGCTACAGTGGCCAGAGCTGGGCCAGGCCAAAACCAGGAGCAGGAGCTTCATTTGGGTTTCACACATGCGTGACAGGTGCCAAAACACTTGGACCATCTCCTGCTGCTCTTCATAGTAGATCATTAGCAGGGAGCTAGAGGGAAGTGGAGCAGCCGTGACACAAGCTGACACCCATGTAGGACGTCGGCATTGCAGGCAGCAGGTTTAACTGCCATGCCACAACACTGACACCTGTTCCCCACATTTTATTTTATTTTTTAAAGATTTATTTATGTATTTGAAAGGCAGAGTTACAGAGAGGCAGAGAGAGAAAGAGGTCTTGCATCTGCTGGTTCACTCCTCAGATGGCCACAATGACCGGAGCTGCGCCGATCCAAAGCCAATAGCCAGGAGCGTCCTCCGGGTCTCGCACTTGGGGTTTAGGGGCCCAAACACTTAGATCAGATTTACTGCTTCCTCAGGCTATAGCAGAGAGCTGGATCAGAAGTGAAGCGGCTGGGACTCAAACCAGCACCCACATGGGATGTCAGCACTGCAGGCAGCAACGTTACCTGCTGCGGCACAGCGTTGGCCCCTCCCCACATTTTAAAGTCCAACATTTTTCACCATAAACTTAAGTAGCTCTAAATGTGATTAAAACAAGATGTATTTTATTTTTTTGAAAGGTAAAGTGAGGGAAGACAAAAAAAAGAGATCCTCCATCTGCTACTTCACTCCCCAATTGGCCACTGTGCTCAGGGCTGGGCTAGGCCAGAGCCAGGAGCCAGCAACTCTATCTGGTCTCCCACAGGGGTGGCAGGGGCCCAAGTACTTGGGCCATCTGCTGATGCGACCCCAGGTACAGTAGCAGGGATCTGAATCTGAAACTGAGCTATCAAAGCTCTGATGTGGGATGCTGGCATTGTGGGAAGTGGCTTAGCTTGCTTCACAACACTGGCCCCTCCACATAGGATTTTTGCCAAATTATAAATATTGAAACTTGTACATCACTCATTTAAGAGTGGCTAGATGAAATTGTATACAATAGATATTGGATATTCTCTGCCAATTTTACCACATTTCCTTCTGTACAATTATTTTCATTATCCTTACCCTGTAGAATTTTATTCTAATGGAGTATACCATGTTTTCTATAACTGTTCAGCTCCAGTTATAGTGTTCTTTTGGATTGAATGTTATTATAGCTTTTAAATATTACTACATAATGGATTAAACTCATTAAAGTATGTTATAAATTTTATTAAATTAAGCACAAAGTGAAATTGCATTGTAAATATATCTTTAAATGAGCTTGATGACACTTGTTTTTGACCCTGGATGGGAAATTGTTCTTGTATCTTTTTTTTAAAGATTTTTTTATTTTGGGGGCGGCGCCGCAGCTCACTAGGCTAATCCTCCGCCTTGCGACACCTGCACACCAGGTTCTAGTTTCGGTCAGGGCGCCGGATTCTGTCCCGGTTGCCCCTCTTCCAGGCCAGCTCTCTGCTGTGGCCAGGGAGTGCAGTGGAGGATGGCCCAAGTGCTTGGGCCCTGCACCCGATGGGAGACCAGGAGAAGCACCTGGCTCCTGCCATTGGATCAGCGTGGTGCGCCGGCCGCAGTGTGCCGGTGGCGGCAGCCATTGGAGGGTGAACCAACGGCAAAAGGAAGACCTTTCTCTCTGTCTCTCGCTCTCCCTGTCCACTCTGCCTGTCAAAAAAAAAATTTTTTTTTTATTTATTTGAGAGGTAGAGTTATAGACAGTGAGACAAAGAGATGGAGAAAAAGGTCTTCCTTCTGTTGGTTCACTCCCCAAATGGTCGCAACGGCCAGAGCTGCGCCAATCCGAAGCCAGGAGCTTCTTCCTGGTCTTCCACACGGGTACAGGGGCCCAAGGACCTGGTCCATCTTCCACTGCTTTCCCAGGCCATAGCAGAGAGCTGGATTGGAAGTGGAGCAGCCAGGACTCGAACTGGTGCCTATATGGGATGCCAGCACTGCAGGCAGCAGCTTTACCCACTATGCACAACGCTGGCCCCTTGGCAATCACTTTCATGTGACACAGAGACCATCTGAAACACTGCTTTCCACTTGTTACTGAATTCAGAGACTGGTGGCTAATCTTTGTACTCACTAGTATTTTATTCCATGTTTTGGAATATGCTGTTTTAATTCTCTTGACAATTTTAAGTCTAAGTTCTTTTTACTAAATTAAAGAACTATTTACTAAAATTACTATTTTTCAAACCATATGCATTTTCATATACTTTATTAAAATACACTACAAAAACTAGTACTTGTCTATGACATACTCAGATTAATAATAAAATGTTACCAGGAGAGTTAACTATCAAATGTTCCCATCAATGATTACATTGGTGTGAATTAATTTTTGTGATTTAGTACTAATTGAAATCAACTTGCAGTAGTAGTACTTTTCTTTATCCTAGATTTATCCTCAGGAAAATAATACTTTCTTTTCATCTCTAAAAACAATATGGCAGGCAGGTGTTCGCTAGTCAGTAATGGAAAGAGCCTGCTAGGTTTGTATGGCCTTTTAACGGTTTAGATCCATGTTAAAGTGTCTTGGGTGGGTATTTAAGTTGCTTTCTGGGGCTGGCACTATGGCAAAGTGGGTTAAACCAGCACCTATGAATCCGGCATCCCATATGGGTGCTGGTTTGAGTCCATGCTGCTCCTCTTCCGGTCCAGCACCTGCAAATGCACCTGGGAAAGGCAGTGGAGGATGACCCAAGTCCCTGGGCCCCTGCACACACCTGGGAGACCTGGAAGCAGCTGCTAGCTCCTGCCTTTGACCTGGCCAGCAGATATAAAACCTCTCTGTCTGTTTCTCTCTTTGTAATTCTGCCTCTCAAGTAAAAATAAAATAAATCTTGAAGTTGCTTTCTGTGCCCCCCCTGTAAGCAATGAGCAAGCGATAGGCATTCTAATTAAGTCGTCTTTTGATTTCTCTACTCAGCAGAACCTTCTAAGTCCCAAACACGTAAACCCAAGTGTGGAAAAGGAACTCATTGCTCCCGCAATGCATACATGTTAGTTTACAGGCTACAAACTCAAGAAAAGCCCAACACAGCCATTCAAGTTCCAGGTAAGACATTTTCTCGGATTGTATCAGATATGTTAGAATGCCATACTTAAAGGCCAGTGACAACTGACAGATTGCTCTCATTTATGATGATAGGTTGATGGATTGTGGTAAATGTTGTTGTAAGTGAATATTAATCACAAACTTGGCTTTAAAGTAGTGAGCTTTTGAAATGAAAGAGCCTGGGACAGAGTTATCCCACTGACCTACTCTAAAGAAAAGCAAAAACAATATTTAAAAATGCCATCAAAGATAATCAGGACATTTGATTTTGCTCACTTTGTAGAGTGCTTGTGAGTTTTGATTGTTTATGAAATTGCCTGATTCCAAAAAATAAAGAGTTGCTAGTGTCCTGAAGGCATTCTTTGTCATCTCACCCAGTGCTGCTCCCAGGCTGTGGTGTTAAAGTCTTTGGAAGAGGTTTTCTGAGCCGTTTCTCATGAGGTCCTGGAGACCGAGGGGGCAGGGTCACCTGGCAATGCTCCCGTGGGTGTCTGCAGTTCACTTCTTCCTTCAGCAGGAGGGGAGACCACAGTAGGAAGCTGCTGTCAGTGTCTTAACCAGTGTGATATAATTTTCAGGGCAGCCTGGCTCTCTAGAGGTCTTTCAAAGCCAGGATAAAGTTGTTGTTTGTCTTTCTGTTTTGAATAGCCTTTCTTCAAGAGCTGGTAGATCGGGATAATTCCAAATTTGAGGAGTGGTGTATTGAAATGGCTGAGATGCGTAAGCAAAGTGTGGATAAAGGAAAAGCAAAGCACGAAGAGGTTAAGGAGCTGTACCAAAGGTTGCCTGCTGGAGCTGGTCTGTAAGATATTCTGGGACAGTGCTGTTGCCATTAAGTGCCTTGTTTCTTTATGTTCACAGTGTATATGAACAGACTTTTCCCTACCCTTTCTTATAACCCATTGAAACTGGCATATACACTCATTCCTATGTAAACCAACAGTAACGTGATGTGTAGCATCCCGTATAGTTTTCATTATCTTGTACTTCTAAAAATGAGAGTGTTAATAGATTGTAAGGTATAGAACTGCACTCTGCATATATGACTCCTGTAGATATTTCTGTTTTGTGACATACTAACATGTTTCTAAAGAAAAATCTATTGGGTTACTGTGGAAGCAGTTCACTTTTTTTTTTTTTTTATTTGTATACTTTGTGCACTGACAGTATTAATAGGCATTCTTTTATATGAGGACAGTTTTGATACAATTAGATTAACTTGAAATTTAATATCAAATATATTATCAAGTATTTCTGCTGACCCCTGATTTCTTAGGATTATCCTGCACCTTCCAATTCATCCCTTTATTGTATGTTTATTCATATTTATCTAGTGTCCCCTACTGCCACTTTTTAAAGGCTGATATACCATCTATACCAAGTTATCATTGTCATCTTACACATCTGAATCCCCATACCTAACTCTGCTAATAAAACATGAGGGGCAATTTCGTCATCACTTTAGAAAATAAATATTGGAGCAGTATGGTAGTTGTGGTTCATTTTTTTTTTCTTCCCCAGATTTTATTTTCTATGTATTTGAAAGGCATAGTTACAGAGAGAAGCAGAGAAAGAGAGAGGTGTCTTCCATCCACTGGTTCACTCCTGAAATGGGTGCAGTGGCCAGAACTAGGCCGATCTGAAGCCAGGAACTTCTTCTGGGTCTCCCATGCTGGTACAGGGGCCCAAGGACTTGGACCATCTTCTACTACTTTCCCAGGCCATAGCAGAGAGCTGGATGGGAAGTGGAGCAGCTGGACTCCAACTGGTGCCCACATGGGATGCTGGCACTGCAGGCAGCAGCTTTACCTGCTACGCCACAGTTCTGGCCCTGGTTTGGTCTTTTTCAAGAAATATTTTATTTATTTATTTGAAAGGCAGAGCAACAGAGCGAGATCTTCCATCCACTGGCTCAGTCACCAAACGGCCTCAATAGCCAGGGCTTGGCCAGCCTTGAAGCCAGGAGCCAGGAACGCCATCCTGGTTTCCTATATGGGTAGCAGGGTCCAACGTACTTGGGCCATTGTCTGCTGCCTCCCAGAATATGCTTTAGCAGGGACCTGAATCAGAAGTGAAGCAGTTTGAACTCAACCTGGCGCTCTATCATGGGATGCAGGTATCACAAGTGGTAGCCCAACCTGCTATGCCACGATGCCGACTCCAGTATCTTAATTTTCCTTTACTGGTTTAGCTTTAAGCAAAAGGTGAATATAAATTTCTGAATCTAACTTCTATTTAGAAGTTCTTTTATTCTGTATCGTGATTTGATTCTGAGCCTTCTTGGTAATTGTTACTTTAATTGTGTCTGAGGTTTGGGATTATCCAGCAGTGTTAGACTGGCCTTAATGTAGTTGGAAAAGATCCCATGATTCGACTTCTGAACCTTTAGGCCCATGTTTAAAGGGGCTGGCACATAAAGATCTAGTTTCCTGTCTTCACTGGGGAAGAGAAAGGAATTTAATGAGTTCAAAACGAAATGCTGTTTTGAACCATTCTTTAACACTACATGGTCCAAAGATGTTATATGCCAAGTTAGCACAGTGTTTTTCTTGGCTGTTTACATTCAGTATATAAGAACCTAAGCTTATATTCTTAGACTAATTCTCTGTTATCACCAGTTATGAGCCTTATAATTTTTTTTTCATTTGAGGTACACTTACAGAGTACAAAGCAAATGTTTTCCTAAAGTGATGTAAAATGTCTAAGACCATGGTTTTGTGCTGCCCAATCTCTAGATATATTTGTGAACTTTTAAAAAACATTATTTATTTTGAAATAGTTACAGAGGGAGAGAGAGATCTTCTAGCTGCTGGTTTACTCCTGAGATGGCCTCAATGGCCAGCGCTGGATCAGACCAAAGCCATGAGCCTGGAGCTTCTTCCAAGTCTCCCATATGGATGGCAGTGGCCCAAACACTTGGACCATCTTCCTCTGCTTTTACCAGGCTATTAGCAGGGAGCTGGATTGGAAGTCGAGCAGCTGGGACACAAACCAGTGCCCATGTTGGATGCTGGCGTCACACATGGTGGCTTTACCTATTGTGCCACAACGCCAGCCCCTTTGTGAACATATTTAAATTAGGGCACTTATCCTAAAATACAACCCTCCCTGGAAACATTTACCCTTTTGGCCTTTTTATTTAAATTGAAGTACACTTAAATTGACCCTCAGTCAAGTATTTCAGATATTTTTGATGCCATCATTGTTCCAGAGTTCATAACTTCCCTAAAGAAAGTTTGTGTTAAAAATTTAGTCATTTTTTAAAAAATTAGAAACACCTTTTTTAAAAAAAATTCATTTATTTGAAAGAGTTACATGGGGGGGTAGGGAGAGAGAGAGAGAGAGAGAGAGAGGAAGGAGAAGGAGATCTCTCATGCTTTGGTTCTCTCAGCAGTTGGCCACTATAAATAAGCCTGATCCAGGCTGAAGTCAGAACCCTAGAACTCCATCCAGGTGGGTGGCAAGTGCCCAGGTGCTCAGGCCATCTTTCGCTGCTTTCCAGGGTTCATTAGGGAGCTGGATTAGAAGTGGAGCAGTCCAGACCTGAACAAGAGCCCCTGTGGGATGCTGGTGTTACAGGTGGTGACTCAACCCATTGCACCACAACACCAGCTGCTTTTCTGCTTCAATGAGTTTTTGCATAAATTAATTTCTCCAACTTGATGATATTCCCGTTTGATAGTGTACTGTCCATGTCTCTGGAAGCTTCTGCTTTGGTAGTGTGCTGAATCACAGATACTAGGGGGCAACGTTGAGAGTTTCCCAGAAGCCTTTCTTCAGTGCAGAAGTGACTGTCATAAAAAACCTTGCCACGGGCAAAGTCTGCCTGAACTGTGAAAACCTGTGCTGCACTCCTGTTCTCACGGAAGCTCTTGGCAGAGCTCTCAGTGGACTCTTGATAGTGATAAACATTAAAAAAAGTTAAGAAACACGTCTGTCACCGCAGTCACTCTTCCTTCCATGGCTCCCCCACCCTCCCAGCATTCTATGTGAAATTTGGAGAGCTGGCTGCCGCTCACTCAGAATAATGGCCCAGTCTCTGCCCTCTTCGTTTCCTCACTAGACAATTATATATGGCTTTGCTATTCTTCATATCTTGAATTGATTGAATTCATACTGAACTATTCAGAAGCAAAAAAATAAGCTTCCCTTGAAAGTTTTCTGTAGGTTTCTAAAAAGGGGTTAGAAAATATTGTCTTGCGTTAAGGACCTCTGAGTCAGGTTGTTGCTGGACAGTGAGTCAGGACTGCTGTCCTGCAGTTAGCCTAGGCCTTAAATTCCAGTGGGCACCCGAGGCACAGAGAGCTTAGACTTCTTTCCTTGTCAAGGGCAAGATTCTTATGGTTTATTCTTTCAGTGAACAATTGCAGGGGTCACCCGTGGCCAGCGCTCCCCAGCTGTTGGGGAAATAGAACACCGAGGAGATTCTTGTCGAATGTCACACTGTATTGCGATTCCATGTCCTTCCTTTGAGAGCCCTTCAGTTACTAAACATTCTAATCCATGTGACTACCTGGGGAAAGGTTAGTTATGTTAGAAGGCTTGTGCTTTACTCTCAGGGAGCATTTATCTTTGCATTTCTCAGATACCCAGTGTACACTATTCCTGATGGATTAAACTCGATAAATAGCAAACAGAATTGGGGAGTGTTTTGAATGTAATTGACCATACCATTATGTATTACAAGATGCCACAACCATGTTAACCTTTACTGCATCTTAAGGCTCCTCTTTTATATATTGTCTGAATGTATAATTAACTTTTCTATATCTCTTTTCTTCCAAAAAGCTCAAAAATGCTTCACATATTTTATCTTTTACCCTCAACAACATCCCTGTGAGGTAGGTAGAAGGCAGGTATTATTACCTTCATTTTACAAATAAAAGACCTGAAACGTAGAGAGTTTAAGTGACTGCTCAGGTTCACCTTAGCAGCAGAACTGAGACTGGACTGTGGTCTCCACTTGCAGGTCTGTTGTGCCCTCTCTCTGCAGCCAGGAGGCTGTCCATTCCACAGATCAGGGGTCGGCATTCTGTCAGGATTTATAAAACAGAGTTTACACTAAAATGAAAGTTAGTGTTTAGATGTGTAACTCTCAGGGTAGTGGAAAATTCATCAAAATGGGCTTTGTGGTGAAGTGTCTCCCCCTCAGATCTCATCAGCAGTAGTATATAATACAAATCCATAAATTCAACCTCTGTGTTTTCTTCTGTGTTATATGCTGGGACTCACTGGAGATCTTTGTAAGTAACCAAAGCTGGCCCTTTATCTTTAATTTTGGCTTTTAGAGAACTCTGGGTCTCCCTTTCCCCTAGTTAAAATTCTATTTGAGGTGTTTGCTGGCTTTTTTTTTTTTTTTTTTTTAATTTTTGCAACTTCAAAATTAATAATTTAGTTCTAGTATACTTCATTGTGGAACCTGTTTAAAGTAGGTTACTTTCTGAAAGTAAATAGAAGTGTAATGAATAGATCCTGATATGGATTCGGGTGGAGCAAATGAGTACCTTTTCTTAATTGATGTCAGTTGCATCGTGGATGACAGGGTTCAATTTTTTATTTTATTTTTTTAAAGATTTATTTAAAGGCAGAATTAAAATAGAAAGGGAAAGGAGACAGATTGTCCATCTGCTGGTTTACTTCCCAAGTGGCCACAACAGCCTGGGCTTGGCCAGGCAGAAGCCAGGAGTCTAGAACTCCATCTAGGTCTCCCATATGGGTGGCAGGGTCCAAGTACTTGAGCCATCATCCAGGCAAATTAGTAGGGAGCTGGTATGGAAGTGGACTATCTGGAACTTGAACCAGCACCCAGGTGAGATGTAGACAACATAGTTGTTAGCTTAACCCACTGCTCCACAACACTGGCCCTGTGATGAGGTTAATTTCTTTTTGTTTGTTTGTATTTTTATTTTTTAAGATTTATTTTCCTTTGAAAGGCAGAGTAACAGAGAGAGGAGTGACAGAGAGATCTTTCATCCACTGGTTCACTCCCAGATGGCCACAATGGCCAGGGGTGGGCCAGACTGAAGCCAGGAGCTTCTTGCACATCTCCCACGTGGGTGGCAGGGGCCCAAGGACTTGGGCCATCTTCTGCTGCTTTCTCGGGCTCATTAACAGGGAGCTGGATTGGAAGTGGGGCAGATGGGACTTGAACCAGTGCCCATTTGCCATGCCGGTGCTGCAGGCAGTAGCTTAATCCAGTGTACCACAGTACTCGCCCCAACAAGGTTAATTTCTCTCCTGGAACTCGGTCTGGCTTCTCAGTTTAATTTAAAGATGTATGAGTATGTCACATCTTTATGAAGTGTTGATGAAATAAACACAGTAGGGCTTGAGGTGGCATGATTTGGGAGCCAGGGTGGGGTATAAATTGCAGTCAGACACAGGTGCCCTGATCAAAGCTCTGCTGTGCGTTCAAGCAGGACACTTCTCTGTGGCTGCCTCTAGTAGAATGTGGATAATCATAGCAGCCGGTCCTCAGGGCACTGCGTACCCGCGTTACCTGCACAGCTCCCAAACTCAGAGCAGTGGTGGGTAACTGGAGATCTGTGACCTGCTCCTTAAACGTCTGCCCCAAATAATGATTCTTCTCATTGACTGGTTTCCTGCTGACTTTGGACAGAGTTTCTATTGTTTCTTGAGGAAAACAAATGTATTACCGAATGTGAAAACTCTAACAATACATAGGCTCTTTCCCTTGCTTTCTTCCCCAGAGCCCTATGAGTTTGTCTCCCTTGAATGGCTGCAGAAATGGTTGGATGAATCTACACCTACGAAGCCTATTGATAATCATGCTTGCCTGTGTTCCCATGACAAGCTTCACCCAGATAAAATATCGATTATGAAGAGAATATCTGAGTATGCAGCTGACATTTTCTACAGTAGATATGGCGGAGGACCAAGACTAACTGGTAATTCAAGGTGTCATCTTCTCTGCTGTCATGCATTAAGTTTTCGCATGGTCTCTGTGAGTGGGGCTTTGGGATGATTTGACCTAAACTGTCAGACCAGACTTAGCAAATCTTTGTAGCAGTTAGCAATTCCTGCTGTTCATGGAGGTTTGTGTTCTTTGTTTATTTTTGTTTCTTCTCCCTGTTTCAAAGCAGATACATAGGCCCCTTGGGGGAGACCATGTGGTAGAACTGTTGGTTTCTCTGTAGTTGAGCCCCTGTGTGCTTGATTCCTGGTCTGTGCCTCCATATTATGGCACCTTCTAATCTGCTGGTTGTTACTTAGTTTGGAGTGGAAGCTGCCTGAATCTGCCTTGAATGTAGAGCAGGACACACTATCCACGGGCCATGTAGTTCTGCCTCTCCTGGACACATTTTTCTTTTTAATGAGCATTGGCAACATAGTCCCTACCTACACTGCAGAGGAACCAAGGAAACCACAAGACACCCTCCCTCTTCTCTCCCCCACCCCCACGGAAATTAAATGCTGTCTTTGATTGTATAGAATATACTCTAAGAAAAGTAGCATTTAACTGCAGACTTCAGGTCTTACACTTCTCAGAGGAGTTTCGCTTTCTAAATGTATGCTTCTGGGGCCAGCCCTGTGGTGTAGCAGGTAAAGTCGCTGCCTGCAATGCTGGCATCTCATATGGGCACCAGTTCAAGTCCCAGGGCTACTCTACTTCTGATCCAGCTCTCTGCTATAGCCTGGGAAAGCAGTAGAAGATGGTCCAAGTCCTTGGGCCCCTGCACCCACGTGAGAGAGCCTGAGGAAGCTCCTGGCTCCTGACTTCAGATCGGCACAGTTCTGGCTGTTATGGCTATCAGGGGAGTGAACCAGCAGATGGAAGACTCTCTCTGCTTCTCCATCTCTCTCTGTGTAACTCTTTCAAATAAATAAACAAATCTTCTAAAAAAAAAAAAAGTATGCTTCTGATTCACAATTAAACCTTACAATGGAAAGATCTTTCAAAGAATCACATTTATATGATTCCTAGAACTTCTGTTTTCAATTAAGCCCTTCATTTTTTCTTTTCCTTTTAGTGTTATATGCCTTGAAGATCACCTCCCCTGCAAAGATCACTGAAGATTGATCTTATAAAAAATTTGCATCTAAACCTTGCAACCGCTTGCCCATTGTAGTGTAATTTTAGCACATTCTGACATTTCACATCTCATTGTTCTTTGTGCAGGTGACAATATGGCTGTCTTGATGTATATATCACCAAGATAATCTGACCTGTATACCAATTAGGTGTTAGAATATGTTACTTGGGTTTAGATTGCAGCTGTGTTTTGTAAAGTGCTGCACACATTTCCTAACAGGGCTCTGCACGTGGATGAACTCTTTCCTCTCCCTCTTTCTTGCCTCCAGTGAAAGCCCTGTGTAAGGAATGTGTAGTGGAGCGTTGTCGTGTGCTGCGCCTGAAGAACCAATTAAATGAAGATTATAAGACTGTCAACAATCTGCTAAAAGCAACAGTAAAGGGGTATGTTGTACAGTGTACATTGTTGATGATAAACAACAAAGTGTTCAAGAAGTAATAACCAAGCAGCTTATTATGTGTCAGAAAGAGGGAGTTGGGTTTTTAGACGAACAGTGATGAAGTAGACAGCGCATAGATCCAAATTAGCGATTACTGCAGTAGTTGCCCCCAAGGTGTAGGGAAAGGAAGCCGGGTTAGACAGCTTGGCAATTTGCATTCTGTCTACTAGAGAGGAAGAAGCAGAAATGTGTACCTGAAGCTTGACAGACAGGCAGACTGTTAACCTGTGCTCTGGCATGGCTGGGAGGACAGCCTCGCAGGTATGGGGGTATTTCTGTTGGTGAGGCTGCAGTAACTATGTAAACACACAGTACCCAGCGGGGCATTCTTGGCGCTTGAGTATGTTGAATTTGACTCCATAGAGAACCTCTGGACTAGGAATCAGTAAATCAAAAGTTTAATGTGGCAGGACTTACGATGTCTGGGTTTAATTCAGGCTTTTTTGTCCCAAAGAGTCATCTAGGTCCCTGTGCTGGGTCATCCCAAATAGCCTGTGTGGTACTGTGCATGCTTGTCTATAGCCATGGATGTACATGTATTCATATGGGTGCTGTGTGCTTGTTTGAAGGAGTGTCTATGCAATTGTAAGTGGGAATCAAAAGAAAGTGGCCTTTGAATGTAAATGAGGGGAGAAGAGGCAGGAAATTATTTATGATGGAAACAACACATTAGTTACCTGCGGTTCAGTAATGAGGCATGAGAATCACCAAAATGAGGTGTTGAAAAAAATTGGTGTGTAAACAGCTGATTTAGAATGTTTGTGGATTCATTTTACCTGTGGCCTTTACACAGAAAGAAAGGACCCGTGGATGATTTAATGTTGTCTGTGTTTCACAACAGTGACGGGTTTTGGGTGGGGAAATCTTCCTTGCGGAGTTGGCGCCAGCTAGCTCTTGAGCAACTGGACGAGCAAGATGGTGAAGCAGACCAAAGCAATGGGAAGATGAATGGCAGCACCTTCAGTAAAGGTAGGTGCCATCAGAGAAAGCACATTCACTGCTAGTGTAGTGGGTTTAATACCCACTGAGACAGGGAGTCCATAAATAGCCTGACAGCAGGGACTGGGCCAGGTCAAAACCAGGGGCCTAATCCGGAGTCTCCCATGTGGATGGCAGAGACGCAGCTACCTGCTGCTTTCCAGGGTACACTAGCAGGGACTGCAGCCTGCACCTGAACCTAGGTACTTCAGCATGGGATCCGGATGTCATAGCAATGGCTTAACCACTATGCCAAATGCATGCCCCGTGGCATTCCCCCCACCCCCGCCCACTCCCATATAACTTTTATTAAATCAAAGCTCTTAAAAATAGTAGCTCAAGGCAAATACAGATTTTTATTATATTAAAATTCAGCAAGGACTCAGTAAATTCATATATTTAATTCTTCCTTAACCCATCATGCTTTAGGCTCAAAAGCTCTCCCTAGTTAAGCACATGCAAAATTAGCGTGAATTCTGCTCGAGGCTGAAAGTTTTAAAGTTCCTCTGAGAACTGATTGCATAGGGCACTGTAAACTCAGTACATTTGGTTTAGATTTGCTGCCCTAAGACTGGGGCTTTCTTCAACATAGAGAACCGGCAACTTTTGTATAGCTTTTTGTTCATAAATTCTTCTGAGGTTCCTGAGTTATCTGAAGCTCTGCTTTTAAATAGGAGATTGTTATTGTAAATAAATCATGAAATTTTAATTATCAGTACTATATAAGACATCAAAGAAAATTACGTCATTAAAATTATTTTTAGCTTTGAAATGGAAGTTAGTGTTTTGATAAGATTTACTAAATCAGAGGTTAGTTTTCTGTAAACCGTAATGCATGATTCCTAATCCATAGGCAATTATTTCACCGAATTTTCTTTTTGTTGATAGATTTTTTTCCCCAAGATTTATTTATGCTTTCATTTGTTTATTTGAAAAAGAAGGCAGCATAGACAGCGATCTTCCATCTGCTGGTTCATTCCCCAAATTGCTGCAGTGTTCAGAGCTGGGACAAGCTGAAACCAGGAACGCCATCCTGGTCTCCTACCTGGGTGGCAGGGCCCCAAGTACTTTGGCCCTCTCCTGCTGTTTTCCAGGCACATTAACAGGGTCCTAGATTGGAAGCAGATTAGCCAGGATTTGAACCTGCGCTCCAGTATGAGGTGCCAGCTTTTCAAGAGGTGGCTTAACCAGCCATGACATGACATTGGCCCCTCACCAAATTTTCTCATTTCTTTCTTTTTTCTCTCTTTCTCTCTCTTTCTTTCTTTTTTTGAGATTTATTTATTTATTTGAAAGAGTTACACAGAGAGAGGAGAGGCAGAGAGGTGGCGGGGGGGGGGCTTCCACCTGATGGTTCACTCCCCAATTGACTGCAACAGCCGGAGCTGCACCGATCTGAAGCCAGGAGCCAAGAGCTTCTTCGGGATCTCCCACATAGGTGCAGGGGCCCAGGAACTTAGGCCATCTTCTACTGCTTTCCCAGGCCATAGCAGAGAGCTGGACCAGAAGTGGAACAGCCTGGGCTTGAACCGGTGCCCATATGAGATGCTGGTGCTTCAGGTCAGGGCATTAACCCTCTGTGCCACAGCGCCGGCTCCTCATTTCTGAATAATACTATTTCCATCTGGTAGGGATCTTACCATGCCACTACCTTACTTAAGAAAATGAGAATTCCAAAGCCACTATTAATTTTAAGCTCCCTGAGCTGTGGCTTTTAACATTTTGATTCTGAAGAGCTTTTTCGTTTTGAATCCAGTATTTTATTGTGCTGCATAATTAATGAATTTAACACTAGCTTCATGCCACCGTCTTAGTGGTAGTGAATAACCCCATATGTTAAATATTTATTTGTCGTTCCTTTGAGCTTCTTTATCTTTCCGTGTTGATGCCATAAAACAAAAGGCCTTGATGTTGACCTCACTTGAAACCATTCTGCTTGTTGCTTATAGGGTAATATGCTTCTCCTCTCCTCCTTCCTGCATTCAAGAATTTTAAAAGCTTAAAGCAGCACAGATTAACAGAAAAACTTCAAAACCTTCCACAAGATACAATCATTGTAAATAGTGGCGCTGATGTGAGCTCAGTTGTGCATCTCTCCCTGTAAAAATAGTGCATTTCTTGTTATGAGTGGCTGCATTTCATTATACGGATATATTTACTGAACTGATTTTATTTTAGGTTTTTCAGTTAGTATATAAGCCCAGGAGCAGTGAACACCCTCGTGTGTCTTTGTACCTACAGCTTTGCCTAATTATCTTAAGTTCCTAGAACTTGCTGGATCAAAGAATCACACACATTCATAACTGCACACCCTGAACACACGGACACTGATTTTGTTGGTAAATGCCTTCCAGAAAGCATCTTAGGGGACTCGCTTTTATGTGCTTTTCTTAGCAGAAACTATTTATTTACTTATTTTCATTTCTTTTGAAAGTCTGAGAGAAACTGTCCACCTATTTGTTCATTCCCCACATGCACACAACGGCTGGGTGCAAGCCAAAGCTCGGAGCAAGGAGGCCAGGTGGGACCCAAGTGCTTGAGCTGTCACCTGCTGTCTCCCAGGGTGCACGTTGGCAGAAAGCTGGATTGGAAGTAGTGGAGCTGGAACTCCAACCACACACTTTAACAGGGTGTGGGCATCCCAAGCAGTAACGGCTGTGCCACATACCCAACCCTTTGAGTATTTTTGTCAACAGAAAGAGTATATCATAGGGGTTGGCACCCGCAGCAAACCACCATCCCACATAGGTACCAGTTCATTTCCCGGCTGCTCCTCTTCCGATCCAGTCTCTGCTATGGCGTGGAAGACGGTCCTCGTGCTTGGGCCCCTGCACCCACGTGGGAGACCCGGAAGAAGTTCCTGGCTTCAGATTGGCTCAGCTCTGGCCGAACTCTCTCTCTGATTCTACCTCTGTAACTCTGTCTTTCAAATAAATAAAAATAATTCTTCAAAAACAAAACAGTGCATCATTCACATCAGTTTTCATCTGTCTGATAAATGAAAATCACTTAACGGTTTTAGGAATTATGTTTTTCAAAATCTTCGCTGAGGCTGACCATCTTATTTGAGAAAGTGTTTTTGTGTCAGGGAGAGAGAGAGGAGACAGAATTATCTGGTCATGTCCTTCCTTTGCCCATTTCTTGACTTGAAACTTTTACTATGTATACAGTAAGTATATATTATATATATAATGTCTAATTGGTATATATTGTATTATAAGGAAAATTCATGGATAAGTATTCTAATCTCTTGAAACTTTAGATTTCTTTTTTGATTATGTCCATGGTATACAGAACTATCAATTGACAATAACAGTGTAGAAGTTTAAGGAAATCAGATATTTAAGAGATTTGTGAACAGGAAAAGCAAAGCTCTTGTTATATAGCATGTTTGATGGTAAAAGTTCATTCTTTATTTCATTTGCCTTTAAAGCTTTGTGTTCAGTCTCTAAGAATAGGTAGAGAAAGTGACATGAAACAGCATGTAGATGATGAACTTGGCTTATGACACAGGATTCTCAACCTTGGTAGAATTAATAGAAGGATATGTAAATTATTCTTCAAGTTGAAAAAGGGCACATTTTCTTACATAACCTAAACCTTTAAAAAGTTAACTGTCATTGATATATTATTCTTTCCTTTTAAGGGAAAGAAACATAATAATTCTTAGCAAGACTATGTAGACTCACTGGTAACTAATTTTCAGAATGCTTTAAAGTTTTCTTTGTTCAAAACTGCTGAGTAGTGTATCTGCTACTTTGAACTTCAAACACAACAATCAGTAGTTATTACCTGTATTTCATTTGATTAGATGAATCAAAAGAAGAAAGAAAAGAAGAGGAGGAGGAGTTAAATTTTAATGAAGATATTTTGTGTCCTCATGGTAAGCTGGAAGCACAAATCTGTTCTTAGTTTGACTTCAGCATATCATAATATTTTAAATGTCTTGCACTTCATCTTAGGGACTAAAGTGGCAGCTGTGGTGGATTAACATGTTTTCTCATGTTTTCTAAGCTATACTTGGGTTTTTTAAAAAATGTTACCCATTGATTTACTTGTTTATTTATTATCCATTCATTTGAAAGGCAGAGTGACAGCAAAAGAGAAATATCTTCGTTTCTCTGACTCCCTCCCCAAGTTGCTGCAACAGCCAGGGGTGAGCCAGAATGAAGCCAGGAGCCAGGAATGGACTCCATCTGGGTATCCTGTGTGGTAGCTGGGACCCAGTGGATTTGTTTTTAATGTTTCTATTTTCTTACCCTTCTTTTATTCATTTGTTTTATTCTATGTATTTATTCAAAAGGAGGAGAGAGAGAGAAACTGATCTCCCAATTGCCAGTTAGCTCCCCAAATTTCCAAAACAGTCAGGACTACACCAGGCTGCAGCCAGGAGCTGGGAACGCAATCCAGGTCTCCCGTGTTGAAGGCAGGGACCCAATATCTTGAATCTGCTCCCTCTGTGATCACACAGTAGCAGGAAGCTGGAGTTAGGAGCAGAACCAGGCCTCAAGCTTGTGATGTGGGGTGGGGGTGTCCCATGTAGCATCCTCACCACTCTGCCAAACCTCCTTTCCTTTCGTACCCTTCTGCAGTGTCAGCTTCTACTGGCTTTCGGTGCCAAAGTCTCACCCTTTTCTTCTTACCTTGCAAGAAAAGTCTTTTTTTTTTTTTTTTTTTTTTTTTTTAATTTAGTAGTTAACCCTCCATGTTCAGAGGAAATCATTAGAGAAGAAACTTTTTGTCACATTGAAGCACTTTTGAATTTGAAGAGCAGTCTTTTAGGGGCCAGCATTGTGGCACAGCCAGTTTGTTAAGCCACTGCTGTCACATCCTGTATCCAGGTGCCAGTTTGAGTTCTGGCTGCACCATTTCCCGTCCAGCTTCCTGTAATGTGCCTGGAAAGGCAGCTGAAGCTGGCCGAAGTTATGGATGGAGCTCATGGCTCCTGACTTCATCTTGGACCAGACTTGGCTGTTGCTATCGTTTAGGAATTAAACCAACAGATGGAATATCTCTGTCTCTCTCTCCCTTTGTCACTCTGCCATTATATATTTCTTCTTGTTATTTGGGCTATTGATGGTTTAATTTCTTTGACATCTATTGTCTGACTGTGTACTAGTTGTTCTTAACCAGCACTGTGTGGTCCTATGTGTGTCCTTGTCTTACTTGGTCTTAATGAGTGCTCACTTCAGGCACAGGTGTAGTTAATTGGCTTTATCTTTTCAAATTTAAGAAATAACATCATTTATTGCATGATACAAATCCAGTTTCTAAACATATCGTAAGTAAAAGTTAATTATTGTGAGATTTTAGACCACATTCAAATATATTAAATATTGTTATTAAAATAATAGGACGTTGGATTTAGAAATGTGACTAAGAAGCAGTACGAAGGGCTTTGTGTTTATTTACCAACCAGACTGAAGTAAAACAATCTATTCAGGTTGTTTTCTGATTGCAGAATGACTTTGTTACTCTGCTTTGAAATCATGAGTAGGTCACAGGCACACAGGCACAGTCTCTTCCTTGGAGTATCCCATCGTCACAAGGGACACCAGGCGCAGGCTCGCAGTAGGTTCAGCTGCCACTTGGAATGTGGCATCGCGTGCCAGAGTGCCAGCCTGAGCTCTGCGCACTTCTGCTCCAGTGTCCTCCTGATGCCCCGGGAAGGCAGTGGACAATGGCTCGAGTACTTGGGCCCCTGCCACCTATGTGGCAGACCAGGACGGAAATCCTGGCTTTTGACTTTGGCCTGGCCCAGACCTAGCTGTTGTGGTCTTTGTGGAAGTGAACCATTATATGGAAAATCTCTCTCTCTCTCTCCCCCTCTCACCTCTGCTTTCAAATAAGTAAATCTTTAAAAAAAAAAAAAAAAAAGTGGGGGGGGGTACATCCACAGTGTCTGTGAAATTGTCCGCAGATAGACACAGTGAAGTGCATGGGGAGATTTGTGTTGCTGTCACTTTTTTTTTTTTTTAAGATTTATTTATTTGAAAGGCAGAGTTACAGAGAAGCACAGAGAGACAGACAGACAGAAGTCTTCCATCCGCTGGTTCACTCCCTAATGGCTGTAATGGCCTGAGTTGTGCTGATCCGGAGCCAGGAGCTTCTTCCAGGCCTCCCACGCAGGTGCAAGGGCCCAAGCACATGAGCCATCTTCTACTGCTTTCCCAGGTTCATTAGCAGAGAAGTAGATCAGAAGTAGCAGTGGGGACTCAAACCGACATTACAGGCAGCAGCTTAACCCATTTCACCATAATTCTGGCTCAAACTGAATCCTTTTTTGAAAAACATGGGAAACCACTTTAAAATTATAATTGCCTGGTGTACCTAAATCTTTTTTATGGCTGTATTGGTATTTCACCATAGTCCTAGGACCACTAAATTGGGGCTAAACAATCCAATTAACTTTTTTTAAGAAAGAAAATAAGTTCCCTAATTATGTCTGAGGATAGTCATGTTGGAGTAAGTTTTCATAGCCTCAGAGGAAATTTGAATTACCAGCCTACTTAGAAATAAAGTGAAATTTTACCTTGTGACCTAATTTCTCTAGTAATAACTTTGTTGCAGGAAAATCATGGTTTTTTTTTTGTTTGTTTGTTTGTTAGTTTTTTCCCTTTTGGATAATTCAAAGCTCAGAGGCAGGGCATGGGTATTAGAAATTCGTGAGATTTGGTGGAGGTAGGCCTGGGTTCCTGGTGCAGCATTGCAGCTTCCCAGCCAGTGACCCTTGTTCATCCCTGCCTCTCAGTTGATGTTACACAAAGTGTTTCATGTGTTCGAAAAGCTGCTGACTTGATTACTGTTAATAAATCCATAGGTGCCTTTGGAAATGCAAAGGTACAGTTCCCTGGGTAATGATTTCCATCGGACGTAAGTGCAGTTCACTAATTTGCCACTTGGGAACAGTTGAAACGATTACAAACAGAAGCAGAGACAGCCAGGTGAGAGGCCCTGGAGAGCTGGCTGGGAGGCCCTGGGCTGCAGAGGGGCGGCGCCCTGGTCCTGGCCTTCCTGCCATCTGCTGACAAGAGCAGGAGTGGCCATGGCCATAACAAGTATTATTCTTGTTGCCTTCTGGAATTTTTCAAGATCCAATGAGATCTCTGAAGCAAGGGCTGGAGACAGCCTTGGAAACAGTGTCATTGGCACTCAAAATGGAGACAGTAAAGTCTGCAGGAAATTGTGACCTTCTTCTGTGGGGGTAGAGAGTGGGAGATCCCTGGAAGCCCCTTTGTACTGCTTCCTTCCTGCCGGCTGGGAGAAAACGCACACTGGTTTTTGTCTTCAGATCTTTCCACTACAGACCTAGATTGAGGACATGAAATCGAGGTTGGTGGCTATCTCTTAGAATTAAAAATACAGAGGTTTTTGAAAATAGAGAAATGTACCACTTTAGAAAAGAAGGGACCGAAAACCTATAATGTCTTTTTTCAGCTTTTCTCTCTTGTTTTCAAATGTAATTTCTTTCCCACTCAGGAGAGTTATGCATATCTGAAAACGAAAGAAGGCTTGTTTCTCAAGAGGCTTGGAGCAAGCTACAACAATACTTCCCAAAGGCTCCTGAGTTTCCAAGTTACAGAGAATGCTGTTCCCAATGCAAGGTACAGAGCTCCACTGACATCCCAGGAAAGGGCGTGCGCCTGCCTGGAATAGCTTCCCAGGGGAATTAACCTTGTGCTTCAGGTGAGGGAGTAGGGGAGGCAAGCTCTGGGCTGTCAGCAAGAGACAGTTGATTGCTTCACTTTCTTCCAGATTTTAGAAAGAGAAGGAGAAGAAAACGAAGCCTTACATAAGATGATTGCAAACGAGCAGAAGACTTCTCTCCCAAATTTGTTCCAGGACAAAAACAGACCGTGTCTCAGTAACTGGCCAGAGGTACAGTCATCCCCCCAAAGAAAGGAATTCAACTTGGCCTTTTCAGGCCCTTGCCAAATTCCTGAGAGTGCTGAAGAACAGCCTAGCTCATTCTCACTTGTTCAGTAACCTGCTCGGGGGATGTACCCCAGCTGGATGTTTCTTATTAGATGGCTGCATTTCCATTTTATTATAAAACTCCAACAAGGAAAATCACAGTGTATTTCTCATGAACAGTTTGTGCTAAGCATGCGATGAATTAAAGTGTGCCCTTTTTTTGTGGTTTTCATATTCTAGGACACGGACGTCCTCTATATAGTGTCGCAGTTTTTTGTGGAAGAATGGCGGAAATTTGTTAGGTAGAAACCAGACATTTTCTATTTCCTTCATTTTGGGTTGTCTCCCATGTTCTTGGATTCTGTTTGTGTACCTGCATGATTACTTTCAGGAGGGTACCCTGAGAGCTTGCTTTTCTCTGTGAAGTTAAATGAGTAGCTCTAAGTCACACATTTAATTATTAAGACTCTTACATAAGTATTTGAAAAAGTCTTTCTCCTGCAGTAATGAACTCTGTTTGCCCTCCTTGTCTTACTTGAATAGGAAGCCTGCTCGATGTAGCCCCGTGTCCTCGGTGGGAAACAGTGCCCTCCTGTGTCCCCACGGGGGACTCATGTTTACATTTGCGTCCATGACCAAAGAAGATTCTAAACTGTGAGTTTCTTCTCTTCGTGTGGTTTTTCTGTTTCTAATGATTAAGGCATTTCTCTTCTGACATAGTCTAAGAATCTAGTCCTTGACTGAATTGTGGGTTTTTTTGTTTTTTTCTTCCCTCTTTTCCACGTTTGTTTAATGCACTACTAGAGTGAGCACTTAAACCTTTATAAGATCAAAAAAGAAAGCAAACCTACTTCTCCAGTACAGGCAAGAGGCTGCTCCCACTCCTGTGTTCTCTGTTCCCTCCTCCCCCGCGGCTGATTAGCAGTGCTGTGGCTGCAGGTGGCCCTCTCTTCCCCAGCCACACGATCAGCCTGGTCTCAGTTGTGAGTTTGCATGCAGCTGCCAGCTGTTGGAAGCCAGGGAAGGACAGTGTCCACCTTAGCAGAGCTGCTGAGCCTAGCGTCCCCCGCGGCTCCCACAACTGACATTTGACTCCACTGCTCACTCGCTTCCCAAAGGGCTTGTCTGTGGATCTTGCCCCTGGCGCTGCATTTTGTCTTGTAAAATGGTTTCTAACTGTATGAGAGAAGGTAGAATGTCTCCAACGTTGCCAGAAAACCATGAAAGAAACCCTGAAACACCTACACAAAAAGAGAGATTTTCCTACTTGATTTAGGAAGCTCAGTTCATGTAACCAACGGCCCTCTCCCCTCCCTTCTGTTTGACTCTTCTCTTCTCCCTCCTCCTGCCCTCTCCCAGTAGCCACTCAGAAATTACTCCTTGAAATATGGCTGCTTGTGCATCGTAAAGTCATGGGGATTTTGTTTCGTTTTTTTAAACTTCAAATATAAGTATTGTCATACTGTATTTTCCCTTCCGCCACAAGCTTGGTTTATTCTACTTAGGTTTTAGAGGTTTTACCATGTTGATTCATAGAACCTCCAGTCTGTTTAGTTTTACTGCTTTTGTAACATTCCTTTGCATGACAGAATTATTATTTCTTGTTGTTGATAATCTTTATTTTCCTTCTAATTTCCTTCCCGATAAGTGATGGTGTTGGGTTTTGGTTTAGGAGACTAGTGGGTTTTGTTAGCTCTCATCGTATGCATGTGTCTTAAGGCATGTTGTGTTTTCTTGCACAGTATAGCTCTCATATGGCCCAGTGAGTGGCAAACGATACAAAAACTCTTCGTCGTGGATCATGTAATTAAAATCACAAGAACTGAAGTGGGAGATACAAACCCTTCAGAAACGCAGTATGTTTCTGAGCCTAGTAAGTCTTCATTCTGCTTTCTGGTTTCCTTGCTGGAGGAGGGAAGGGTGTGTCAGTATTTTTTTCTGTGCTTCAAGTTAAAGCTGGGACAATGTGCATGCTCCCTGGGTGAGAACTAGTACCATGCAAACATCTCAGTGTTTGTATGTTTGTTTATGGGCATTAAGTGGATGTCCTTATCATTTTTATACAACACAATAGTTACTAGAGGTTATAGCTAGTTTAATGAATATGACTAATGATTTTGGTGTATGTTTTTTATATCTTTGCTTCTTTGACTATAATTCCTTTTTGTAGAACTCTGTCCCGAGTGCAGAGAAGGCTTACTGTGTCAGCAGCAGAGGGACCTGCGAGAATACACCCAGGCTACCATCTATGTCCATAAAGTTGTGGATAATAAAAAGGTACTGGTCCCTCTTGTGGCCATGACTAGCAGTGAACAGGCTTGCTGCTGTGGGCTTCCCGAGGACATCTTAGGATGGTGTTTTCTGTCCTCTGAACTGGTTGGCATCAGAATTGCGATTGGACAGGAATTGAAAGAATTATATGACTGAATGGATTTAGTCTTTTATTAATGTGACACATCGAAGTCTACTGAATGTCAGCTGTGTGCCAGGTTGGTTGTGTTGCTAGGGATACAGTGATGAAGACAGGCAAAGCACCTGCTCTTAAATTGGAGGAGGGTGCCTGAAAAAGTTTATGGAAAATTGGATCAAAAGACTTTATTTTGATGCAAAAAAAAAAAAATATTTGAAATCCATGCATATAAAGGATGGCCAGGCCAGACTAGAGCCAGGAGCCAGAAGCTTCATCCAGGTCTCCCACATGGGTACAGGGGCCCAAGCATTTGGGCCATCTTCCACTGCTTTCCCAGGCACATCAGTAGGGAGCTGGATTGGAAGTGGAGCAGCTGGGACTCACAGGTGCCCATATGGGATACCTGCACTCATAAGCAGCAGCTTAAGGTGCTATGCCCAGTGCCAGCCCCGAATCCCAAAATTTTTATGCCAAAATAAATTTCCTTTTTTTCCATTTTCTGTGAATTTTTGAAGGCCCTTCATATCTCAGTCTCTGGTATAATACCTGGCTTGCCAATTTTGTTGCATATTTTGAGTTTAGTGTCAGCATTTCACTGTGTACTTGGGGATGTGTCATATACCTTCTAACTTCTGCAAAATAACATCATATTCAAATCAGTAACAGTAGCTGCTCTGCAGAGGCCTCATACGTTTATGCTCGTGCAGTAACTATAAGATAAAAAACTGCAGTGCTCAACAAGCGTGGAAAGCAGGGCTCTTGGTTCTTGGCCCGTTCTCTGCTGTGTTGTCCCACGGGACGAAGGTGCCCCTCCTCTGGGTAGCGGTTGCCTGCAGAACCCCCAGCCCCTGAGCTGCGTGCCTTCCTTGTGGCTGACCTGCTGCTCTTGTCCTGGGCTTCCAGGTGATGAAGGAGTCTGCTCCAGAGCTGAATGTGAGTAGTTCTGAAGCCGAGGAGGACAAGGAAGAAGCTAAACCAGATGGAGAGAAAGATCCAGACTTTAGTCAAGTACGTGTTCACGCTGCTTTTTCTTCGTTGTACTTCGTGGTGTTCTCCGAGAGCAGCCGCTCCAAGACCTGGGGTCTCTGGACCCTGCGTGGGACTTGGTTCTCGGCTCCCTTCCTTGGTTTGTTTTTCTTTCTCTTCCCTTTGTTTTGGCAGTGCCACAGCGGTTGTGATTTCTCATGGAAAGCCATGGAGCACATTCTTCCAAAATTAGTGTGTTTCTTGCTATCAAGTAGGAAAGATTGCGATATGATCTAACAGTTAAATTTTTAGCTGGAAGAGAACGGTAACAGAAGACCCATATCTCGGTTTGTTACTTAATCATGGGATTAAGTATGGAAAAATTATTTGACTCAGATTTCCTTGTTATAAACCATGGCTTTCATAGTGGAGTTATATACAAGACATTTCTATGTCTTTAATTAACATGTTAATCAAGTGACTGGATCAGCTGATGTATTTTCATTTTCCATTGTAACAGACTTAAAATTCTTCTGTTCAGACAGTGTTTTCTGTTGGGATTTTCTACCCTCTCATTTAGTTGCTTGATTATATTCTGCATGTTCCTAGTAATATTGGAGAAAATTGTCTTAAGGACAAGAAATAATGTGGGAATATGTGTGGTTGATGTTTAATGTGGATAAGTTTCAGCTTCCCAGAAAGAACACTGTTCTGGGGTATTCTAAAGGTACTTTAAATTCATGGTTTTTTTTTTTTTTTTTTTTTTTTTCTCCCTCCACCCTTCATTTTTGATGGATGAGATATTTGTGCCAATCCAAAGCCAGGCGCCAGGAGCTTCCTCCAGGTCTCCCACATGGGTGCAGGGGCCAAAGAACTTGGACCATCTTCTGCTGCTTTCCAGGCCATAGCAGATCGGAAGTCAAGCAGCTAGGTCTTGAACTGGTGCCCATATGGGATGCTGGCACTTTAGACCAGGGCATTAACCTGCTGCACAATAGCACCGGCCCCTGGATGAGATAGATGTTTTCCTTTTTAGTGCAAAGTCGTGTATTTAGGTTATATTGTACATTATCCCTGAAAGAAAGTGTCGTGATGGTCCCCTGTTGTACCTGTTAGAGAGCGTAGGTGGCTGGGTTCAGTGGGCTGCCTGCACACACTGAAAGTGTGACTTCTTTTTCAGCATGAGTAAGGAAGTCTAAAAAGCCCTCTTGACTTAAATCTTAGTCTCCCCAAGATAAATGTTACTTGAAGTTTCCCAAAGAATATGTCAGCATTTGTCATGGCTTGAAGACTCTCATAAAGTAATAACTTTGAAGATTATTTATTGATTTGAAAGGCAGAATTACATAGAGGCAGAGAGAGAGAGAGGTGGAGACGTCGTCTATCTGCTGGTTCACTCCCCAATTGGCCGCAACAGCCAGAGCTGGGTGGATCCGAAGCGAGGAACCAGGTGCCAGGTGCCTTTTCTGGATCTCCCACATGGTTGCACGGGCCAAGCACTTGGGCATCTTCCACTGGTTTCCCAGGCACATTAACAGGGAGCTGGATCAGAGGTTGAACAGGTTAACCTACTACAACACAGCACTGGCCCCTTCTCAACGTCTTTTTTTTTTTTTTTTTTTTTTTTAAAGATTTATTTTATTTATTTGAAAGACGGAGTTAAAGAGAGAGGTAGAGAGAGAAGTCTTCATCTAATGGTTCACTCCCCATATGGCCGCAACGGCCGGAGCTTTGCCGATCTGAAGCCAGGAGCCAGGAGCTTCTTGCAGGTCTCCCACGTGGGTGCAGGGGCCCAAGGACTTGGGCCATCTTCCACTGCTTTCCCAGGCCATAGCAGAGAGCTGGATTGGAAGTGGAGCAGCCGGGACTAGAACCGGTGTCCATATGGGATGCCGGTGCTTCAGGCCAGGGCGTTAACCTGCTGCACCACAGTGCCTGGCCCATCAAAGTCTTGCTACATGTGTATGCCTTGAGTTACTTCGGAGTGGTTTTTGAGATTGTGAGATCAAATAATTTGTCTCTTAATAGATGTTTGCAAATGTAACTTTGCTGCTTAATCTGTTGTCATTTATTTGTTTTTAAGTTTCAAGCTTATATAGTCCATCTTCCAAGCCACATGATTCTAAACTAGATTGTTTGCTTGTTGGTTGATACATTAATACGTGTGTGTGGCCGGTGCCGCGGCTCACTAGGCTAATCCTCCGCCTTGCGGCGCCGGCACACCAGGTTCTAGTCCCGGTTGTGGCGCCGGATTCTGTCCCAGTTGCCCCTCTTCCAGGCCAGCTCTCTGCTGTGGCCAGGGAAGTGCAGTGGAGGATGGCCCAGGTGCTTGGGCCCTGCACCCCATGGGAGACCAGGATAAGTACCTGGCTCCTGCCATTGGATCAGCATGGTGCGCCGGCCGCAGTGCGCTGGCTGTGGCGGCCATTGGAGGGTGAACCAACGGCAAAGGAAGACCTTTCTCTCTGTCTCTCTCACTGTCCACTCTGCCTGTCCAAAAAAAAAAAAAAAAAAAGTGTGTGTGTGTGTGTGTGTGTTCACACATACGTACATACATAGCCATTCTGGTTCAGAATGTCTTTCTCTTACTATCTGCTTGGTTACAAAACCATATTGTCTTGGTTATTATCACTTGGTAGCATAGTTGAATAGTTAGTTGGAAATTCCATCTTTTTTCCAAATCCTTTATTGCTTGATTGTGACTAATTTATTCTGTATTCTCTCATAAGTTTTGTGAATTCATTTATTGAATCTTAATGGGTATGGCTTTATTGTCCTTAATTTCTGTAATTTCAGGCTTTACTTTTCTGCCCAAGAGTTGCTTAGAAAACTCACATTTTCAAGTGATTTGGATTTTGGAAAGCTAACTTTTGTGAATGTCTAGTTTTATTCGTTGTGGTCATAACCACAGAAATTTTTTTAAAGTGGATATAGAATTGCTCTCCTCAATTGTGGATCACAACGGATTGCACATTTATAAATATGATAGAGAATGTTGCGGAACATTGCTTTTTATGCTGGTACTGTTTTCTATACTTTATAATTTTCTTCTCTCTTCCTTCTCCTTGTTTGGATGTTGTAATACTTTAGGCTGTTTTAAATATTTTTGGCTTGTGAAAAATCTCAAACCTTCCTTCTGCAGAAAAGCGTGGATAGTCCCTGAAGAATGCCAGCCCTTTTCAGAATGTCCCCCTCCTCACACCTTTTCGCTGTCATCATCACAGTATCTCAGTGCGCAGATAGCTTCTCCAAATGCTGTTTAAATCCTGTAATAAAAAGTCATGCATTTCTGCTTCCCTTAATGGAGAGGAACAAATCCCTTCCCTTTTTTTCTCTAATCTAGATCAACCCAGTTTCTTTGACATTATGTAAAATTTAGGTTAATAATACACTCAGTAGTGGGTAACATTTAAGTCATTGAAAGCCTTTTAAAACCTGCAGGCTGGTTTTTGTCAGTTAAGTTGGATTTAAATTCTCTGGAAATAATTCCAGGAAAAGCCTTTAGACCCATTTGAAATCAAAGTTAACAAACACAAACATCTTTTTTTTTTATTTAAGATTTATCTGTTTATTTGAAAAGCAGAGTTATAGACAGAGTAAAAGAGACAAAAGATTGAGAAATCTTCCACCATCTTGTTCATTATTCAAATGGCCACAAGGGCCAGGGCTGGGCCAGGCCAAAGCTAGAAACTCCATACAGGTCTCCCACTTGGGTTCAGGGGCCCAAGCCCTTGGGCCATCTTTTACTGCTTTCCCAGGTAGTAGTTGGGATGTAAGCCAGCACTCACACAGGTACCAGAACGCCAACCCCAACAAATACATTATGTAATGTTCAGGGCTTTATTTTCTGGTTGCATTTTTACTGCTAAAGTGAAATTATATGTTACAGATATTTTTTCTTACATTCCCAATTGTAGAATATAGGCTCATTTGATTTAGCCGCCCCATATATCCCAACAATTAAAATTGAGGAATGTTTCATTGTTTTTTATTTATTTATTTTTTAAATTTTGGGCAGCCCCTATGTTTGCGTACTTGTTTCTTATAAATGTGGATCCTAGGAATGTAGCCATTGCAGTGCCCGCCAGTGGGTGGCAGCCTGGCCCAGTGCTCCTCTGTCTGTGTCCTGCTCGTCTGCTCTGTCATCGGTGGAGCTCTGTTGGTCATGACTCTGCAGCATCTGTGCTCATAATTAGACCCCTAAGCCACTCTGCTGCACAGCTGACACTTCAGTGACAAGCATGGAAGCCAGAGCCAGAGCCTTGGGCTTATTAGCTCATCCTGATCTAATTAAACCAGGGGGAAAGAGCTTTATTTTTTAATTTCTTTGAGGGGAGTGAGAAGAACACAATTCTCATCCATTGGTTCATTCACCGAATGCCTGCAATGCTAGGACTGGGCCAAGGCCAAAGCCAAGAGCTGAGAACTCAGTCCTGGTTGCCCATATGGGTGGCACATAGCAAATTATTTGAGCCTTCAGCACTGCTTTCATGTCTACATTAGCAGGAAGCTGGAGTGAGGAGCCGGAGACTGGGATCCAATGCAGGCACTGCGATGTGGAATACAGGCACATTTACTGCTAGGGCAAACGCCTACCACTGGAAGCATATTTTTTAAAAGATTGTTTTTATTTATTCAAAAGATAGAGTTAGAGAAGGAAAAACAGAGAGGTATCTTCCATCTGCTGGTTCACTCCCCAGATGACCACATACCCAGGGCTGGACCAGGCAAAGGTCAGGAGCCAGGAGCTTCCTCTGGGTCTCCTGTGTGGGTGTCAGGGGCCCAGGAACTCGGCTGTCTTCTGCTGCTTTTCCCAGACCATTAGTAGGGACCTGGATCAGAAGTGAAGCACCCGGACAGGAACGGGTGCCTAATATAGGATGCTGGTGCTGCAGGTAGTAGTTTAACTCGTTATGCCATACCCCATCAGGTATATCTTAAACAGTTTTTTCCTCTAACCTATATGCTATCCAGATGCACAGTTTTGTGTCACTTTGTGTTGCTGTGATTTAGAACAGTTCTGCTGGTGCCACCCCCACCACCAGCCCACTTGTATCCTTTTTTTTTTTTTTTTTTTTAAGATTTATTTATTTATTTGAAAGGCAGAGTTACAGATTGGCAAAGGCAGAGAGAGAGAGAGAGATCTTCCATCTGCTGGTTCACTCCTCAAATGGCTGCAAGAGCTGGAGCTGATTAAATCTGAAGCCAGGGGCTTCTTTTGGGTCTCCCATGCGGGTTCAGGGGCTGGAGCACTTGGGCCATCCTCCGCTGCTTTCCCTGGCCATAGCAAAGATTTGGATCAGAGGGAGAGGAGCCAGGTCTTAAACTGGTGCCCATATGGGATGCCGGCACTGCAGACCTGCTACCGCACAGTGCCAGCCACTTGTATCCTTTCTTGATATTGACTTGGAGCCCACTTTGGTTTCTTGTTGATCGTCCCACCTTCACGGATGACCTCCTTACGTGATTCATTTTAACTATGCCCCGTGCTCCGGTTTGTTTAAATTAGAAGTTGGGTCTCAATGGTTGCATTCAGGTTTAATTTTAATTATTTAAGAGACACAGAGAACAAGTGAACTTGCATCTGCTGATACACTCCCCATTTGCCTACTCTGGTTGTGGCCGTGCTGGGAACCGGCAACTCAATCCAGGTCTCCCACGTGGGTGGCAAGGAGCCAACCACTTGAGGTATCCCTGTTGCCTCTTAAGGATCTTTGTTAGTGCCGCCGGCCCTATGGCACAGTGGCGCAGTGGGTTAACGCCCTGGCCTGAAGCACCAGCCTCCCATATGGGCATCGGTTCTAGTCCTGGCTGCTGCACTTCTGATCCAGCTCTCTGCTATGGCCTGGAAAGCAGAAGATGGCCTAAGTCCTGGGGCCCCTGCACCCACATGGGAGACCTGAAAGAAGCTCCTGGCTTTGGACTGGCGCAGCTCTGGCCGTTGCAGCCATTTGGAGAGTGAACCATCGGATGGAAGACCACCCCCCCCCCCCCCGTGTAACTCTTTCAAGTAAATAAATAAATCTTAAAAAAAAAAAAAAAAACTTCATTACCAGGAAGCTGGAATTGAGAGCCAGAATTGGGAATTGAACACAGGCACTCCAATAATGGAATATGGGTATCTTAACTGCTAGGCTAAATGCCCACTCTAGGTTGAATTGTTTTTGCAAGAATGTTTCATAGGTTAGGCCGTATATTTCACCATTTTAACACAAGGCATAATGTTTCATCTTATTGTTTAAACTACTTTGTTTCCTTTAAAAGTTCTCAGCAGGAGTGGGCCTTTGGCCTAGCTGTTAAGATATTGGTTAAGATAGGAGCACTCCCATCTCTTATTGGGAATGTCTGGGTCTGAGTCCCCACGCTGGTTCCCAGTTCTAACTTCCTGCCAGTGTAGACCTTGGGAGTGAGCAGGTGGCAACAGCTAGAGGGTTGGGCCACTACCCACCGGTGTGGAAGGCCTTGATTGAATTGTCAGCTCCTGCCATAGTAAGCATTTGGGGAATGAACTGACAGATGGGAGTTCTGTCTGCCTCTCAAATAAGTAAAAGTAAATAAATACAAATTCTTAGCAGTCTGTACTTACTTTCCATGTCATCTTCAAAAAAGAAAAGAAAATGTTAAAACAAATCAGAATTCTGGTATGGAGTCAATTTAGTAATCTTGAAACTTTTCAGTTTATAGTATTTTCTGACTTAAAGGTCACACTTACCATTCTGCTTTTAAATGTTTTCCTCGGCGAACATCTCAGCCTCTCACACGTGGTCACAAATGCATGTCGCTCATGCTTTTCTTCCCAGAGTTCTGTGTGAGCCTGCTGACTCAGGTGAATTTCCAGCCTCTCTCTGCCTTGCATTTCAGATGTCTAGGGGACCAGTATGTCACCTGCTGTTTGACTGAAGAACTTGATGGGCAACAGTCACGTTCAGGATAATTTCAAATCTCAAGTTCTTCCTTACAGAGCAATGGAGGAACAAAGCGACAGAAGATTTCCCATCAGAATTACATAGCCTACCAAAAGCAAGTCATTCGACGGAGTATGCGACATAGAAAAGTCCGTGGTGAGAAAGCACTTCTCGTCTCTGCTAACCAGACATTAAAGGAATTGAAAATTCAGGTAAGGAAAGTGCTCGTTCACTTCTGCTTTGGGTCAGGAGAGCCTTCACGCATCCCTTCTTCCCTCCTGTACTTGTATATGAATCTGCTCTCTTTCAGGCTCAACCTTTTGAACATGTGTGGGCTCAAAGCACTAGACCATTGAGAGGGGGCTGTTTTGATTTCAGAACAGTGCCTGCAGGGCCCTAAAATGAAAATAACTCCTTCGTTAAAAAGACTTAGCTTTCAAAATAGCCAAGATTCTTTCTGTGAAGATGAAAGTGATTTGTAGAAAACTTGATCACACTTTGAGTAGCTTCTAATACGGAGGAACATTGAGAGCCCTTTAATTTGTGCCATGTTGAGTTTGTTCTAGGATAATTGTTCTCACCATATTGTGTAGTATGTTTTTCATTGACCATTTACTAGGTATTTGAGCCTATTACCAGGATCTGCTGTGAAATTCAAAGGGAGATAACAGGCAGCCCCTGGAATGCCTATTCCTAAGATGAAGCAGATCCTTTATCATTTATTTTCGGTGGCAGATAGATCTGCTTGCTAGGGTTGGACGTTATCTTTGCCTTTCCTTATGCAGCAGTGTTTCCCGAATCCTCTGAAGGTGCAGTTTAGATCATGCTGCTCCCACCCGCATGGAAGCACGCACTGCTTGCCCCGTGCGTTCCATGACAATGCAGGCATTGTGCAGACGCTTCCTGGATTGTTCTTGGTGTCAGTACTAAATGAACATAAATGAACATTCCAACGGAATATCTCAAAAGCTAGTCTAAAAAGAGCTGATGAATTCAAGATGTCCATGGAAAAAAATCTGGCCCCTAATCCATTTCAGTCCCTGCTAGATATCTAAAACATTGACCAAATTCCCCTCTTTTCTACTTTTATGTGGCTTCGTCTACTGGTTGTGTGTGTTTCTTGTTGCTGATATTTATCGTTGTAATTGAGGTCTAAGTACAGGCTTCCTTTGAGGGTGTTATGTGTTCCAGATTGTCCTGAGAACAGTGTTTCCCTTGGTTGAACCCGTGGTTCTGAAAATAAACGTGTTGGCATAATATCTTCACTCTGTTATTGTACCCTTTACATCCAGGAAGCTTGTTTCTACCACCGGCTTTCTGCCTGTCAGTGGTAAACCTCGAACATTCAAAACCTTTAAATTACAAAAAGAGCCCCTGTGGATAGACATTTTGTAAAGCCTGTGCTTCCTTTATTATAAACTACTATTTTTGAAAAATAAATCAGAACTCAGCAGAAATGACCTCTCCGTGTGGGAGCCTGCTGCCTGCAGGGATGGGCTGCTGCTGGCAGGTGCAGCCGCTCAGAGGCAGCCCCCAGATGTGTCCGTGTCGGTTCCTTGGCCGTGGCTTTTCTTCCCACCCCCAACTCTTGCTGCAGGGACCACAGTGATCCAAACAAAGTCGAGAGAAAGGGCAGTGAAATCTAATTTTCCCCTCTCTGCTCAGTGGTGGTAGCTTTTAGAACTTCACCTAGATGTGGCCCTGTGCTTGGCAGCCTGGGTGGCGCTGGAGTCTGGTGGGCATGTGTGTGATCTCAGTTACTGGTGGTGGGCGCCCCTTGAGAAGCACAAGATTCCTTTTGTTCTTTTTGATGGAGCTTTTGCTGTAGGGCCGGTGCGTGAGTAGGATGGCAACCTTTGTAAAACTGCATGTTTGATTTCAGACATACGTAGCACATAGAGTTGCTTGAAACCATGAGAAGCTTACCTAATTATTAATTCCTTTGCCCGTGACGCCATAAAGTAACTGAAGCACAACTTACTCATCTCCTTTCTCAGTGTTAAATTGTCTTATTTCATTTTCCCAAAGATAGGCCTTCAGTGGGTGGCATTGGCTGCCTTAGAAGGGAGAACATTTTGGCACAGAGGCGAAGTGGCTGGCAGCTCCCACATGGCTCTGCATTTCCGGATTTCTGCCCCACTCTGCCTTTCAGCAGCAGCTCTCTGTCCTCTGCTCTGCCCCCGATGGTCGCACTTCAGCGTTCTAGCACTTGGCGCCTTAGGCCTCTGCGCCCCAGTCAGCCTGATCCTGTTTCTGCAGCCGTTGCCCCCACTCGCAAATGCTCGCTCGCTTCCCAGAACCTCCGTGAATGGAGAACGGCCGTCCCCTCCCCTGTGTCTGTGAGCCTGCACACACTGCTCTGCCTCCATCTTCATGACTTGGTTTCTCGCCTTCACTCCCGGTGACCCCCTCCAGGTGGGATTGTTCACTTCGGCATTTCCGGCACCTCGCACAGCACTTGACCCAGGCTAGCTCCTAATATTTCATCAGTTGCTGAAGGCATACAAGCAGGAGCAGAATACAAGCAGGAGCAGGCGCCCTCAGTTTAGGCATTTGCTCACTCAGTCGCCCAGAGCGGTGCAGACGCTGTGCGTCCAGGGAGGGCAGCAGATGAGCGTTGCTCCAGCCAAGTAGCTGTGGCACCCACACGCAGTCAGCGCCACTTGGCCCCACGGTGACTCTGCTTGCGTTCATGAGTTACGATTGCTGCCCTCAGGCTGGGTGCCTCTGCTGGTGTCTGTGTGTGGAGCTGGCCCTGGTGGAGCTGTTCTGCCAGAAATAGGCTTATTGCTATAGGAGGCTTCTTGATGATGCCACTGCACTTGGCTTTGTTAGCCAAGTCCGCCTGCTTTTCAGAGGCTTCAGTTCTTTTGAGAAAACCAGACGCGACTCCGGTCCAGCAGCGGGGAGGGCGCCAGCGTTGCCGCCCTCGTCCTCACTCGTCTGTACCATTGTTCAGGCTTGTAAAAGCCTGAGGCCCTGTTATGTACACAGTTTTCTCAGCACTCAGCTGGCAAGCTTGTTTTGTCTTTCCAGGTCAAAGTGTAGAGTACAAGAAAAGGCAAAATGATTTTCCCAGAAGATACATGTACTAGAATACATTCAGTGAGTGTGTAACTAAACCATAAAGCATAATAGAATGAATACCCTTGAACTTTCCATCAAATTAAGAATTAAAACAGGGGAGGTTGTTTGGCATAGCAGTTACGACTCTGCTTGAGATGGCCTCAGCCTGTGTCAGTGCCTGGTTCAAGTCCTGGCTTCGCTGCTAATGCCTGCTCTCTCCTGACGCTCACCCTGGGAGGCAGCACCTGCCATCTCACGTCCTTGGGTCCCTTTCACTCTTTCTCTCTCTGCCTTTCAAATACAAAAATAAATCTTTAAAAAAAATACTTGAGTCCCCGCCACTTACATGGGTGACCCAGATTGAGTTCCAGATTCCTGGCTTCGTCCTGGCCCAGCCCTGGCTGTTGTGGGCATTTGCATAGCAAACCAGTGGGTGGAAGATCTGTCTCTGCCTTTGAAATAAATACAATTAAAAAAAAAAAAATTAGAACAGTACCACAGAAGGTGCTTCTAGATGGCTCTCAGCCCAACTTGTCTTTCAAAGGTACTTATCCAGAAATGAAAGGTTATTAAAAAAACTCTCTGAATTTGATATACACACAAACAACACATTTAAGTATTAGCTTTTGAGGATATTAGCTGCCTTTCATTAATTTTTTTTAAAAGATTTATTTATTTGAAATGCAGTTACAGAGAGGCAGAGAGAGACAGAGATTTTCCATCTGCTGGTTGGCTCCCCAGATAGCCATGACAGTGTGAGCTGCACCGATCGGAGGCCAGGAGCTTCTTCCCGGCCTTTCTCTCAGGTGCAAGGGCCCAAGGACTTGGGCCGTCACCACTGCTTTCCCAAGCCATAGCAGAGAGCTGGATTGAAAGTGAAGCAGCCAGGACTCGAACCAGTGCACATATGGGATGCCAGCTCTGCAGAGGGGGGGCCTTACCTGCTATGCCACATCACTGGCCCCTCATTTATTTTTAACATTAGGCCAGAACTTAGGTGGGATACAGATTTGGTCTACTCCTAGACATTCATATTTTATTTCTAGAAAGACTCATCTAAGAATATATGACAGTCCCCAGGGCTGAATTATGTAGTCCAGCCTAAAGGAATAAAAACAGGAGAGAGAAAGAAGTCCAAGTAGGTTGAAGGTTAGTTTAAAGATGGCCTGGCTGGGGCTGGCGCTGTGGCATAGCAGGTAACACTGCCACCTGCAGTGCCAGCATCCCATGTGGGTGCCAATTCAAGTCCTGGCTGCTCCACTTCCAACCCAGCTCTCTGCAATAGCCTGGGAAAGACCCACATGGGAGACCCGGAAGAAGTTCTTGGCTCCTGGCTTCAGGCGACCATCTGGAGAGTGAACCACGGATGGAAGACCTCTCTCTCTCTGTCTCTCTGTCTCTCTGTCTCTCTCCCCATCTGCCTCTCTGTAACTCTGCCTTTCAAATAAATTAAAAAAAAAAAAGAAAGAAAGAAAAAAGGGTGGAATGGACTTTACTTGTTTATGAAAGGTTGTGGGGCCTGGGAATGGTGGGTGACAGTGATGACCTTGCCAAGTCTGCTAGCCAGAGAGCTGAGTCACAGAGAATAGCCCAGCCTCACCTTTTGCTTGTTTGATTGTCCACACCCCTAACCCTTGGGGAGATGGGTAGGCCTAGAACAAAAGTGGGTTCATTGTCCCCCAGCTCTCTGCCCGCCTCCCCCTGAAAGTTCCCAGGTGCGTAGCGGATGACTGCTCCCCGGGGGTGTCCTGTGTGGGTTGAGTCTTTTGTACTCCGAGGCCTTTTACTTTGTTGTGTAGATCCCATGCATTGTTTTGTTCAAATATGGTACAGGTCTCAGCATTTGGCGTTATAAAGACTTTGTTTTTTGTTTTTATTTTGGCACAGATCATGCATGCATTTTCCGTTGCTCCTTTTGACCAGAATTTGTCGATTGATGGAAAGATTTTAAGTGATGACTGTGCTACCCTCGGCACCCTCGGCGTCATTCCTGAATCTGTCATTCTGTTAAAGGTAAGTGACAGCGCCTTAGCTGAGAAGCCCTAGGTTTCCAGGAAAGGGTGTGTGTGACAGGCGTCCTGAGCAGGGTGTGGCAGTCACTGCAGTGAGCCTTTTCCAGCCTCTGGGTTCTTCTGCTCTGTTCGAGCCACGAGAGACATGGTAGAAGTCAAGACATCATTGGGTCTCTTTTTTTTCTTTTTTAAAGGTTTATTTATTTATTTGAAAGAGTTACACAGAGAAGAAGGAGAGAGAGAGAGAGAGGTCTTTTGTCTGCTGGTTCACTCCCCAATTGACTGAAACCATCAGAGCTGCACTGATCCAAAGCCAGGAGCTTCTTCTGGGTCTCCTACATGGGTGCAGGAGCCCAAGGACTTGGGCCATCTTCTACTGCTTTTCCAGGCCATAGCAGAGAGCTGGATTGGAAGTGGAGCAGCCAGGATATGAACCGGCGCCCATATGGGATGCCGGCACTGCAGATGGCAGCTATACCTGCTACACCACAGCGCCAACCCCGTCACTGGGTCTGTTCTTGGGTTTCATAGTAGTGTGTCAGTGATGCCGCAGCATCAGCAACTGCCGGTACCCAAGAAAATCCAGGTGCTGGCTTCCTCCAAGCTAGGGGTGGCGAACAGCCCACGAAGTCATTTGTTCTGGCCCTACCAAGGCAACAGCAGGGTGGCTCGAAATGCATTAAATCTATAGCAGGCTAACTTTTAAGTTGATAATTTTGTATGGCCTGCTAATAAAGTTGATAAATTTCCACCTGGCCCTCCTCCAGACACACATCTTTATTTTGCATTCCCCTCTGACTGGAGGAAGGGAGTGAGGTTAGGTTGTGCACCTCTGAGCATTGGCAGCCACATTGGGTGCTCTGCTGGGCCAGCTGAGTCACCAGTCAGGTCACAGAGTTCCTGTGGTATCTGTCATTGTGTGTATGCACACACACCCCTCCATTTTTGAGTAGTTGGAGGGTCTGTCCTTAAACTTATACCGGTGGGGCTGGCACTGTGGCGTAGAAGGTAAAGCTGCCCCCTGTAGTGCTGGCATCCCATATGGGTGCCAGTTCAAGTCCTGACTGCCCCGCTTCCAACCCAGCTCCCTGCTAGTGCACCTGGGAAAATAGCGGTAGATAGCCAAGTCCTTGGGCCCCTGCACCGACCTGGGAAACCTGGAAGAAGCTCCTGGCTCCTGGCTCCTGGCTTCAAATTGGCCTAGCCTGTTGCAGCCATTTGGTGAGTGAACCAGTAGATGGAAGATCATCCCCCGCCCCCCTTCTCTCTCTGTAACTCTGCCTTTCAAATAAATAAATCTTTAAAAAAAAAAAAAAAGTGCACTAATGATACTGATGTCTACAGCTTTCCCTGAAACACTTCCTGTCCTAACCCCCCAGAAAAGGTAGAGGATCCATCCACGGTTGATATAGAGCCTAACTCTGACTTACTCTGCATTTTAAATTCTGTATCTTTTTTTTTTTCTTTCTTTCTTTCTTTCTTTTTTTTTTTTTTTTTTTTTTTTTTTTTTTTTTTTTGACAGGCAGAGTGGACAGGGAGAGAGAGACAGAGAGAAAGGTCTTCCTTTTGCCGTTGGTTCACCCTCCAATGGCCACCGCGGCCGGCACACCGCGCTGATCCGAAGGCAGCACCCAGGTGCTTCTCCTGGTCTCCCATGGGGTGCAGGGCCCAAGCACTTGGGCCATCCTCCACTGCACTCCCTGGCCACAGCAGAGAGCTGGCCTGGAAGAGGGGCAACTGGGACTAGAACCCGGTGTGCCGGCGCCGCAAAGCGGAGGATTAGTCTAGTGAGTTGCGGCACCAGCCAAATTCTGTATCTATTTTTAACAAAAATTACAAAAACTCCTGCCATCACTGAGATTTCAGAAGTTTCGTTGAAAACAGTAGCTGTAAGTCCACCTCCATAACCTTCTGGGTCAGCAGACTACTCCAGCCCACTTCGGTGCAGCACCCTGACTTCTTATTCTAGGTTCAGAGCAAGGTCTGAAGTCGCCTGCATCTAAAGTGCTACCACCTGGGTTTTGTGGCTTTGGAATTATTCCTGGTTTTGGAAAATTTGCGTGCATAGTGAGATATATTGGATCTGGAACTCCCAAGTCTAAACATGAGAGTCATTTATGCTTCATTTATTACACCTTATACACATAACCTTAAGGTCATTTTTTCCCATGTTTTTGGCACCCCTGTATTGTCACCTCAGCCCATCACTTGAGGTCAGGTGTGGAACTTCCCAATTGTAGCATCATGTTAGCACTCAAAAAGTTCTGATTTCAGATTTTTGGACCAGGGATGCCGAGCCAGTCAAGCTAGGCACCGAGGGTGAGGCAGGAGGTTCTGCCGTGATAGACCACCCATGTGGTCTAATGGGATTCTTGTCCACTTGTGGACATGAGCTTTGGATTTAGTGTATGTGGACGATGCTTTAGAATGGAGGGGTTTCTGGGATGTTGTCAAAGAAAAATCATGAATCACCTCCTTAGCTGGACCTGCCCCTCCCTAAGGCCTCAGTTAGTCTTCTCCCTTTGCCCCATGTTTCTTAGAGCCTAGAAGGCTCCCGGCTGTGCCATGTGGCAGGTCTTTAACTCTGAAATGCACACGTTCCAGAGCCCCTGACTCTCTCGTGATAAAGTTGGGCATTGTAAGTATGAGAGAGACCACACCTGCCCCTGTAGTGTGCTGCTGCCCTTCCGACCACCTCCCGCCCTTGGGTCACTTGTCACTTTCCCTGGCATGGTAAGATCTGTGGAATGATCTTGAAACCTGTCGAGTTGCTGGAGCCTACTGACCCAGCCCAAACTCCTAGAAATAGCCCATATTATTAGAGAGTTTCCACTTCACCAGGCGGCTAATCTCACCCTAAGCTTAGATGCAGCACAGGATTCTGTCCTAAAAGGGAAATTTGGCATTCTGTTCTTGATGGTGAACAGGGACAGAAGTATACTTGTCACTTAATTTTTTTTTTTTTTTTTTTTGAGAGGATCGGCCTGGTTTTAAAAAAAAAAAAGGATGAAGAAGATTTATGTATTTATTTATTTAAAAGGCAGAGTTAACAGAGAGCCAAGAGCTTCTTCCGGTTTACCCACGTGGGTGCAGGGGCCCAAGCAATTGGGCCGTCCTCTGCTGCTTTCCCAGGCACATTAGCAGTGGAACAGCCAGGACTTGAACTAGCACCCTTATGGGATGCTCGTGCTGCAGGCCGTAGCTTTAACCTGCTGTGCTACAGCGCCGGCCCCCAGCCTGGCTTTTCATTTCTACCTTACTCTCCACTGCCCCAGCACCTTCACTCAGTCCATTTTAGTAACTGCGGGTGTCCACACAGTTCCACTTCTAGCAGTGTCTTTGCCCCATCAGTTTGTCGGTTGTAAGGTGATGAGTCTAGACCCACAGACCGCAGGGAGCCGTTGGGAAACCTGGACTCGCCGGCAGTGGCTGGAACCGAGTCCGCTGCTGGGCAGTGTGTGTGTGTGTGTGTGTGTGTGTGTGTGTGTGTGTGTTTAGTAGCAATGTCAGTGTTTGAATGGAGGGCCCACTTCAGGGTGGTGAGCAGCTGGGGTGTGAATTGTCTTTGTTTGTTTTCTAGGCTGATGAACCAATTGCAGATTATGCTGCAATGGACGACGTCATGCAAGGTAAAGGTGAATTTGCTTCAGGAGGCTGTTGATGAGCTGCTAGAGGAGCAGGGATATGGCTTTGTGAAGCTTCGTGTGTTGTGCTTTTACCTTTAACCTGGACAGGCGTTTCTGCTTGCTCAGCAGATTGGCCCTGAAGGGTCGTAGAAAGAGCGGAGGGCATCTGTGACATTTTGGAAAGTGGAAGAGATGCATGCTAGTTACTCCGGCAGCCTGCGACCCGGTGCACCCCGGTCGCCCTGGGTGGAGCGAGGTGTGAGCCTCGACACCAGGTTGAGAACTCCCTTCTCTCCGATCCTCATCACCCCTTCGCCCACAGCCCTGCCCCGCCCCGCAGTGTGCCCCAGCCCGTCACAGACATCCAGCGAGGACGGTGAGCAGGAGGCCTGTGGCCCAGCAAGCTGTGTTCTTTGCTCAATCGCTGGCAGCCCACACTGGAGGAACGGGGGTTCCCCTGTGGGGAAACAGGCTAATTCAGGGAAACCAGCCTGGCCCAACAAGGCTGCTTTGTCTCCAGGCACCCTTGGTGAGCCCCCACCGCCCACTGACCAGAGCTCCCGACCTCTTTGGCACCTCCCGTTCACATGGGTAGAAATGGCAGCCAAAGATCATGGGGCAGTTGAAGGAGAACAAGGAACCAGGGGAGGAAGGCAGTCAACAAACTGAAAAAGAAAAGAAACAGTGAAGGGGGAAAAAAAAAAAGAAAAGAAACAGTGTAGGAAGCATGAGGAAACTTACAAATTACCTGTGAGCCTGATACAGAGGAGACTTGCACTCACCACCTAGGGACTATGTAAAAGGAACATTTGGAGAACTGAGAATTCATGGCAATGTAAACAGGTGCCATTGAGGGGCCAAAACTGTACATTTAAAGGCAGGGATAAGAGGATCCCAAAAGCATCTGTTGATTGGGAGGAGCTGGGGACAGGGACATGGAGCAGGGCCCACAGGGGCTGACATCTGACACGGACTTCCCACTCAGAGTTCTGGCTAGACACGTTCTACTCTTCCTCCACCTGAGGGCTCCATGAACACGGGCAGGCCTGGAGAAGTGTATGCACAGCCAGGGTGCTGTGTGAGCCTGTGATCTTCTTACCCAGAGAGGGAAGCAAGAAGGCAGTCAGCAGGGGATCCAGCCTGGCCAGGCTGCCCTAGAAGACGCTAGAGAGAGATCCCAGCACAGGTGTTCTGCAGCAGTGAGGGCCCGGGGGGATGGGAGTGCTGGGAGGGAGGCTCAGGGAAGTGTCCAGGGAAGAGTGAAGGGAAGCCATCTGCCTGGAGAACTCTGAATCATGAAGTATTTACGCTTGGATTGGAGATGAGTACAGGGGACATAAACAGCAGTGGTGGAGCAGCTACCACGTCCAGAAAGACAGTCATCCCACACAAACAGACCGAGGCACACCGAGGCTTCCCTGAGCAGTGTCACAGAGGCTGGCGCTGGAGATGGCTTCACAGCGCAGACCCCGGGGTCAGGAGGGCGGGGTAGGAGCAGCTGGAGTGTGCAGAGAAGAGCCAGGATCTGTTACTGGGGAAGCTGGGAGACACAGCCCAGAATTATGAAAGCTGCAGTGCAGGCATGCTGCTTAGTGATAAAGATGGAAGAGTCAAAGGGTTTCATTCTAGAAAATGAAAGGGAGGTGGCGGGGAGAGACCCCAGGTGGTCCAGTGTCTCCGCCAGGCCTCGCTCCTTAAAACCCTGCCCGACCAGGATTCAACCTTTTAAAAGATGCATGCATGCTGCTTAGATAAAAACAAGCGCAAAGAAAAAGTGATTTCAGATTGACGCCATCCGCAGCCTCCGATGTCGTCCTCCGAGGTGACGGAGGCAGTTAGGTTATTTTTAACTTTTCGTCTTTGGGCGTTGAGCTGATCTTACTACCGTCTGTCGTGACAGTCTTTTCAACTCGGAATTCTTTTCCTTTTTTCCTCCCCTCTTCCAGTGTGTATGCCAGAAGAAGGCTTTAAAGGTAAGTTGCATTTGTCATTTCTGCTCATGAATGGCAGGAGCCACACTGTAATGGTCTGTCACAGCAAAGGCCGTAATTTGATTTTAAAATTTAATTCAGTCTGAGTCTCATGACTGAAATTAATTTTAGTTAAATGCATTTTTTATTCTCACTTCTTCATTATCTTTCAGCACTCAGGCCTCAGTAGGTCCCTCTTCTGCCACGTGTCCAATCAGCTTTGTCTTTCTCCTTTTGTGGGAGGCTGGGAAATTAGCTGATGGTATTTCAAGATTTGTATCTAACCTTTTTCCAGTTCCTCCTACCAGCCCCATCTCAAGACAGAACTGTTTATGAGTAACTGATTAGAATTAGTGGAAGAAGTTGCCTGATTACAGCAGGTGCAGTGAGAAGGCTTAATCACTATGTTTAGGAGTAAGGTATTTGTTAGACTTACTTCAGGTAGAGACACAGTGGTGCAAATGTCCTACCTCTTGGCCAGGGCAGTGTTGCACACCCGCCCGCTGGGTGCAGGCCTGCAGCGTTTACAGAACGACCCACTGCCACGTTGATCTCTTTTTGGGCCACTCCAGAGGTCCGTGATTTCAAAGGAATGAGTCTGAATGAAATGTCAGGGCTTCTCTTCTAAAGCGAGTTGAGTGACGGCTGCTGGCCCGAGTCCAATCTCCCCCACCCTGCAGCCTTGTGTCGTGTTAGCACTGCAGAGGAACGCTGACATGGTCAGCACAGATCACAGTTCCCTTACGAGAAACGGCCAGCAAACGAAAGCACCAGTAAAACCCGATTCCCTTGTGTGAGGCTATGCAGAGAGCACACCGGGCCTTCAACAGAAACGTGATTCAGCCAAAGCCTGGGGACTCGGTGGTCTTCCCACCCTGTGACCCCAGGGGCTGCTGCGCTCCTTGTTAAGCTGGGTGTTCTCGGCAGAGGGGCTGCATGAAGTCGTGACTTGACGTCCCCACTAGACCTCCGCGTGTGTTTCTCTCCTCAGGTACCGGTCTCCTTGGACACTAATCTGTGAACACTTGCTGACTGCCAGGAAATGACCAGAGGGGAAGAGGAGTTTGACATGTTAGGGCATTAAAGAAAAGGCGGATTTCAGAATTAACCATTACCTGACTCTTCCAGAAGGCAAAAATCCATTCAAAGTGACTGTCCCAAATGCCTTATGTCAAATAAAGCCGATTGCACTGATGGACATCAGACTTGAAGGAAATGTTTCCAATTTTATATTTAACGGGGGTGGTGGGTGGGAGGGGGCGAATAAAGATTGAGCAAGTTTAGTAGCAGTGGCAGTAAATCATGTTTACATATGAGATTTCTAGTCATGGGGGAATAAAGTTCTGTTATATTTCCTTGCTCAAGTTTCATACCAGACGCATTGGTCCATAAAGGATTTGTATCACGTAGATGGGGCAACATTCTGCTCGGAACGAAAAGTAACTCTTTAGACATAACCTGCTTACCAATACCTGTCTTTGACTCATATTCTACTTTCAATAAAGCATGAAAGTGAAGAACTTGCTGTAATTGTGGAAAATGTCTTCAGCCTCAGACTGCCCTCCGTGTCAGCCGCAGCCCCCGCTGCCCGGCGGCCCGTCCCAGTGTCTCCTGCAGTGAGCAGGGCACTGTGCCACGTGGCTTCAAAGGGAAGGTGGAAAATGTCTGTTACATATGCTAGCGTCTTGCTCCAGTCCCCGCTGTTGTGCCAGGGTGTGCACATCCGAAAACCCTGGCCGCCCCATCAGAAGAGTAAGTTGGACCCAAGTACTTTCGGTTGACACAAGGCTTTCACGGTTTGCCCTTGCCGTCCCCGAGCGCGCCGTTCCTTGTGTCTTGCCTCCGCTTGAAAGTGTTTTCCAGAAAGGATCTCAGGTCACTCTGCAAAAAAGAAAGTATGCTTGGGGCGTGGGTCCTGTCCAACTCCGAAATTCTTAGCAGCAAATACCTGGAGGAGGACTGTTCTTAATACTGAGGCATATGAAACTTTGGGGTTTGTTTCTTTAAAACAAAACAGAATTTCTACTCTGTTGAGCGTGTGTGTGAGAGAGAGAGAGAGACTGAGGTGCCGGCTCAGGCAGCTCTTGCTGACACTTTTTGGCTTTGGGTTTATACTAGGCATTTTTTCCCACTTCATGAAAATTTGAACTCAAATAATGAATGGTGGATGCAGGTTCCAGTTTGAGGCCCAGTAACCCTAGTGGCATCCCTTCTGAATAGCTCTTTTTATCAGAGTGCTGATGGTGGTTTGCTGAAATCCTGACTTGGGGTTTGTGCTCCACCTGTGCCCCCTGAAGAACAGGGGAGGTTATTAATGAGCCTGTGTAGGGTCCCAGGTCCCACACCGAGGTCAAGGTCGGCCCAGGTTTAGGACTCGATGCTGAGCTCACAGATGGCTCGTCCCCGATGTTTAGATTTCAGCCTTTGACTGAGCATCGAAGAACCGGGTGTGAGCCTGAGGCTGGGAACACCAAGCCACGGCCCAGGCTGTGGGCCCCTGGGGAAGCAGCTGCCTTTGCCTTGCACAGGGTCTGCAGAGTGACATCACCATGTAGGGAGCCCCAGAAATCAGATACATTTTCCCCAACCTGCTGTGGGTAAAGGTTTTGAATTTGTAATTTGGTGCAAAACAGCCTTTTGTAAATCTTCCCTGCTTGATACCCAGTCTTGGTGTGCTGCTCGGGGATCTGTCCCCAGAGCCTGGCACCTCCTCCCTTCTGCCGACAGCACCAAGACTGCCCAAACTTCATCTAGGGCCCAGCAGCACTGCAGCCCTGAAACTTAGCAGTTCCTGAGCTCAGACCCCTGGGCTGGGCCTCTTTCCCACCCACAGCAGTGGTACAGGGCAGTGTGGTGTACTCGATGGCTTTGCACTGGCCCCATTGCCACCTCGTACAGGGAGAACACACACAGGTGTAGCCTAAAGCCCGATCCTGATTGTTGATGTTTATAATTAGACGGAGCCCAGTTGCAACCCCTGGTGAGGCACTAACACCAGGCGTGGTACTCTCCTGCACCCCAGTCTCCCACGGCAGGCGCCCTGACACAGTGCTTCCCGTATGGGTTTCTGACCTCTCTTTAATCCCAGTGTTGTGCTGGTACACACATTACAGGGGGCCGTTTGGATGTCTTCGTTCCTGGGGGAATAAATATCTTTCTGTGTACTGATGAAGCCCGTTTTCTGCTGAATTAAAAAGCCACGAGTGTGCCTTTGTTTCTGTGGAGTCCCAATCCAGAGTGAGTTTTTTGTTATTTTAAATGTCCGACAGATGGGTGAGATTGGTCAGACCCTGGTTAATATTAGAAGCTAACGCTCAGATTGAAGAACCTGTTCCGAATACCAGGGATGGTTTATCTCTGTCTAAACAAACTGCTGGAGTGAAGTGAGCAGGAAAGCCTGTCTTTCCTGTCCTGGAGCCACGAGCCGCAGCCCGGTGTTTACAGGACACTGAGGACGGAGTGCAGGCCCGCGAGGGGCCAGCGTTTTCACTTGAAGACGACGCTGGCCCCAGTGAGTCTGGTCAAGGGCTGCGTTTCCAGCTCTGAAGGCTAGTACCCCGCACCTTGCACAGGCGGAAATACTGCACAGGGATTTCTGTTACTAAGATGCAGCTGTAAATGTTGGGAAAAGGTAGGCACCGGCCCTGTGGATGCCCACTTGTTTCCCCGGGTGACTGTTCTGTGCCAGGGCCATCGTCCAGTGGGGAGACAGGACACACCTCCAAACCAGCCTGGCCCAGGAGTCAGTTGGGCTGAGGAGTCTGCTTGCTGTCCAGCTGGCACAGCCACAGGGGGCAGGTGGAGAGAGGGCACATTTTAGAAGTTAGGCCACCTGTGTCCCAGATAATTTCACCATTTGTCTTGTAACCAAGAAATGCCACTTTGTCTTGCTTGGCCTTATTTTCCTCTTCACAGCGGCAGTCTGCTGCCTCGAAGCCCCCTCCCACCCTGAGGACTGAGCAGTAGCAGATTGTGTTGGGGCAGGTCGAGAGACTAGTCTTTCTGAGGGAGTGCTTGGAATCTCCGTTTTGCAAGTCTTCAAAAGCCTTGTAACCGCATAGCCGGGTTGGCTGGGGGCTTCTGACACACCTCTCCCTGGAAGCCCCCCCAGCTACAATGATGACTGGACAGGTGTTGGATCACCCTGTTACATAAATCTTCCTGCTCAGCCCAGGAGGAAAATGAAGCCAGTAGTCACTTAGCAACCCCTCCCGAGTGTGTGTGTGCGTACGGGCACAGTTCACGTTTGCAGGAGATGTTGACAGGTATTCCAAACGCGTTCAGAATGCACCTGAAGATTTGTGTCCTTTTGATGGACGGTTCCTGCCCCCAAAGGGCAGCTTCCGTTGTTTTCATTGTCTTTGCCCAGAACACGGGGACCAGAAGCCTAGAGCCTTGAGCAGGGCTCTGCGGGCCCCAGGCGGTGCAAAGCAGCGGAGGTAACCATGCCAGCCCTCCAGAGGGGGCTCCCCAGTCTAGGATTGTGCTTGTTTTACATGTCACTCCCCCCCCCCCCATAAGCCACAGAACCAGTGCTATCAAACTAGCACACCGCTGGCATCTTGTTTGAGCGTCACCAGATTTTAGGAAGGCAGAGGTCGGGGAACTCCTGCAACTTGCCAGGAGCCAAAGGCCCTCATCCAGGTGACAGGGTGGCTTAGAATCAGAGCCTGCACCGACTCATTCCAGGCCGGAGCCTTGGCTGTGTCCTGCCCCACGGAGGCAAGGCCGAGGTTCCTGCAGCTGTGGTCCTGCTGCTGGGCAGCCCACTGGCCGTACCCACCCCGTGCCTTCCAGCCTCAGTCACAAAGCTGCCGCCTGAAGTGGGCCCTAAGAGCTTGTCCTACATAATTACTGCATTGATCTCAAATAGAGAACATCAGCCATTTCCCCGTAGCATGCTTAAAAAGAAAAATTCAGAAATCCTGCTTTCAAGGACTTGGCAGGCCAGGGCCTTTGAAGTGAAATTGCTCCTGGACAGGGAGGGAGCCAGCCTTCTAACACCAGCTGGACTGGCTGTGTGGATTCCAGATCTGCCCTGGTGCTGCCAGGCGAGGCAGGCCCTGGGCCACGGGAAGTGGGGGACACACTCCAGGGAGCCAGAAGGCGGAGGTGGATCTTTGCCGGCTGGCACTGGGGCCTCTGCACAATTGTGTATGGGTTTTCTTGCCCCGTTACCGCTGGTGTTTGTAACCCAGGGAACGCTAAACTGCAGCCTCAGCTTTTTATGATCCCGGATGAGGCTGTTCCCCTTTGAGCCTCACTGTTTTCCTTAAAGGAAACGAAGCAGGGATGGCAAAGGTGACCGTGGTAGAAGGGGGCAGTGGGCCCTGAGACCCCCAGGCCTGGCACAGCCACCAATCCTGGGGGAAGTACCAAGGGATGGCCTCCAGGGACACGCCTCCTTTAACCATCCAAGCCGGTTTTGGTAGCATTCTTCTGTCACTGGTTCCCGGGGTGACAGGCCGCAAGTGGCGCTGACTGCCTAGAATGCTGGGACCAGACAGGGTGCCGCAGTTAGCACTGGGCTGGGTTCTGGTTTCACCTAGAACAGAAATTGCATCACCCTCGTACGTGTGCGACGGTCCTAGTGCCCTGGGGCCCTGTCCCCACAGTGTGCCACAGCTGTGCTGCCAGGAAAAGTGGGCACTTCGAGGCCCCGGAGCGGAGACCGTGCGTTCTGTCAGCTCCTTTCTCCCTTTGCTGTGTTCGCATTCATGAGTCAAAGCTCTCTGGCCCAGGGGCGAGTCCCCCAGCATCCTGCCAATGGCGGTGGGGCTGCCCTACCAGGAGGCTGGGCTGCTTCCCTGACACGCGTGTCTCCGCTGCCTCCTGCAGCCCACCCTGTGCTCCACGGGCCCCTCCTACACCTTACCCACTGCTCCGCAGGCAGCACCCTGCGGGCTCGCTGCCTTGCATTCCCTCCCCCTGCTCGTTCTGGCTTGCAATGCCTGTGCCCATTTCCTCCCCTGTGATCTGGCTGGGGAGGGCTGGTCAGAGGGGGGGGTACTCCATGCCCTGCGGCCTCGTGCACTGTCTGGAGTTCACTGCTGTGCCATGCACCTTGTCATTCTTCAGCCTTCTTGGATGTCAGAATTTTTTGAAGCCAGCTTTCAGTTCTCAGCACTTGGGAGGGCAGGAGTGGTGGCCGGGTCGCAATGCATTAAGCGTTTGAGAAAGAAGAGACTTGTACCCACAGGCAGCCATGCGTGAGTGGTCAGTCCTGAGTGGTTTGGATTGAAATAGGGCAGGGAAAGCAAGGCTCTGGGGCCTTTGTCCATCTTCGCTTTGGTAGCCTGGCTCCGCACCAAGCTGCATGTCTACCCCCTAGCGGTATGTGCTGCCTCCTCCCCTGGGGGGCCTAGCAGCCTCAGAATGGTCCCCCCCCCCATTGCTGGGATTAAAAAGCTCCTTGGTTATCAAGGAGAAATAGGCCTGGCACACAGAGCCTTCGTGCTTTGACCTGCACAGCCAGGGTTGGGCACATTCAGTCCCCCCTTGCTAATAGGCTCTGTTTGCTAATAGACTCCAAGGTCCTTGGCAACCGCGGAGTGTGTGGGTCCAGACCCGGGGACACATGGAACCTTTGCCTTAGTGCTTTGCTTTTCCCTTTCCCTCCCCCACTACTTATATTTGAAAGGCGGAGTTACAAAGAGAAAGGGAGAAACAGAGGTCTTCCGTCCCTGTGGTTCTCTCCCCAGGTGACTGCAATGGTCAGGGCTGGACCAGGCTGAAGCCAGGAGCCTGGCGCTCCGTCCAGGTCTCCCACATAGGTGGCAGGGTCCTAAGCACTTGGACCATCGCCCGTGCTTTCCTAGATGCATTAGCAGGGAGCTGGATGGGAACTAGTGCAGCTGGGACTTGAACCAGTGCTCTCTTATGGAAGGCCTGTGTTTCCGGCAGTGGCTTAGCCCACTGAGCCACAACACCAACCCTGGCTTGGTTATTTCTGCACCGCTTTGGCCTCCTCCTGCCCCTGCCTCTGGCTCCAGTGGGGCCCCTCCACAGTGTGGAGCGTGCATCAGCAGTGTCTTCCTGGTCAGATTCCTGAACGTGTGAGGAAGCCGCGGGAAGAAACACTGGGACTGGCTCGTAACTGGGCTCCCGGATCATGGCAGCTCGGGCTACAGCAGTGCTGCCGGACGGGTGGAGGCGGGATGCTGTCCTGAGGGTGCTGGAACGTGCACCTCTGAGTTCTGTGAGGCCAAGCCAGCCTGGCGCGTGCAGCCTCGGACAGACACACACCTGTCGTTTCCCAGGGAGGCTTCATCTCCCCCAGCACCCCCCAGGACCAGTGCCCTGCAGGGCGGGGCTGTCTGGGGCAGTCCCTTCTGCCATCACCCCCGGAAGGACTTAGCCAACCTCATCAGCCACTTCCTCTCCTGGAACTGATGATGTAGTTTGGTGCTTTTGTTGGCAGGAAACCAAAGGCCCCCCAGGGCTGTGGCCAGGAGTGGGGGCCCCCGGGGGAGCAGGTGGTACTGGAGCAGTCTGTCCTCGGAGCAAAATGCCGGGCCGGGCCACACCAGCAATGCTGAAGCCGGATCCGGGAGCTTGGAATCCGAGCAGTCCGCACCCACAGGCCATTCCTGTGCTCTTGGAAGTTTGGGAAACCCTGGGCCAGGGCCTCTTCCCCACCAGAGCTGGAGGAGCTGTCAGAGAAGCACTGGGAAGAGCCAGTGCCTCATCCCCCCCCCCCCCTGCCTTCTCCCATCTGGGGGGGGGGGGTGGGTGGGAGGAGGGCGAGGCATTTCCTGCTACTCCCCCTTACGCTAATCTCTTCTCCCTTGGGGTGGGAGTCTTGGCCAGGAAACCTGGCCCTGGTCCCCAGCTCCTACGGGACTGCGCGTGGGGCCCTGCAAGTCTCTGATCCCCCAGGGGCTGATGTGAGAGCTGCTCAAGACCTCAGATCTTTTCCCTAATGAAATGCAGTCTCTGCAGCTGGGAAAACAGCGGGGTTTGGAGCTGACAGTCATCGTGTGAAGCGCACGGCAGGTGCTCAGTGAACATGAGACTTCTGTGACCCGAGTCCCCGCGCTGAGCTCTGGGCGTGGGTCTGCTGGGCTCTGTGGCCTCCTTGTTCTGAGATGAAGGTTTGTCTCTGCCCCTCTCTGGCCTCAGATTCTAGAACAAGGTGAGGTCCAGCAGGATCCCATCTCTCTCTTATCACGGCTGCGCTGTGGCCTGGGAGTGAGCTGGGAGCCACCAGCCATGGCCATGCTGCTTGGGACCCACAGCGGTGCCTTCGCGGCCGCACTGCTGTGTCCTTGTTTGGTGCAGGATGGTCGCTTGGAGGGGGCACCAGGAGTGTCCGGCTCTGCAGTCCATCCAAGGGGGTGCCCGCCAGGCAGCCCAGGGCTTGCCACTGCTGTCTGCCTCCCGCCCGACGTTCCTGGGCGAGGTGCCTGGTCCAGGGAGTGTCCCAAAGCCGCTGACCGGCAGGGCTGGCTAGGGCCGCCCCCCCCCCCCCGCAGCCCCCAGAGCAGACCCTCCTTATCCCCACTTGCCCCAGAAGTTGTTTCCGTCCCACCTGGGACCCGGGGTCTCGCCCGCGCCCTGCCACCGTCCAGGCGTGTGCCCCGGGCCCGCCCCTGAGCCTCTCTGGTCCTTAATGTCCCCACCTGTAGGATGGGGACACGGAACGCCGCCGCGCCCGCGCCGGCGGCTCGGGCTCCGCAGTGAGGGGGGAGCGGCGCCGGGAAGGAGCGCTCGGCGGTCACGTGACGCCCCCACCCCGAACTGCGGCGGCGGCGGCGGCGGCGAGCGCCGAGCGCGTCCGAGCAGAGCTGCAGCGGCCGCCGCGGGCACCGGAGTGCCGAAGCCCAGGACGCCCCCGGCCCGGGCCCGCGGGTGAGTGCGCCCCGCCCGGGCTGCGGCCCTGCGGAGGGGAGGTCGCGGACGTCCGGGGTGCTCCGCAGCCGGCGCCCGGACCCCGCCGGGGCGGGCCGGGCGGGAGGCTGGGGACGCGCGGGCGGGCACCCGGGCCCCGGGGGCGCAGGGGGCGGCGCGGCCTGGCTCGCACAGCCGGCGCTTGACCACGGCCGCAGGCGTCGGGGAGGCCTGGGCCGAGCTGGCTGGGGGCCCCGCCTGTGGAGGTTGGTCCAGGCCGCAGACCGGGGGCGCGGGTCCCACCCCCTGGGTGGATGGGGAGTCCCGTTTTCCGCTGTCCGGGAGGAGGGGTGCCTGCGGCTTAGAGGGGTCCCGCGGAGATGTGAGAACGATTCCTCCTCACCTGGGGAGGGGGCTCGGCCCTGACACCCCCACCCCCAGGGAGAGGCGCTCTGTCCTTGGAGAGGGGAAGTGGGGGTCCTCAGATCCGACGACCCCAAGCGCAAGGCGGTGATGTCCTTGCGTCCCAAGGGGCAGAGCGCAGTCCTCCGCCCCCGTCCCTGCCCGCCCTGGAGCAGGGCGCACGCATCACGCAGTCGGGCGCCCCTCTGCCAGACCTTGGCTCGCAGGATGTGAGCAGGGTGGGAATTCCCACGGTGGTCTCCGGGAGCTGGGCTGCCCCCGCGCTTGGGGAAGAAAGTATACACAGGTGAGCGACCCCAACCTGTGCCTGACCCCCGAGTCCTTGTTGGGGTCACAGCCCAGGCCTAGGGTGGGGTCACAGTGGCGTCGCCCCCACTTCCGCACTCCCAGCCTGCCAGTCTGGGGCCAGACCCCTGGTGGCCTGCGGCAAGGGAGTGCATGGGAGCTGGGTCGGGTGGGGAACCGAGCAGAAAGGTGGCAGACGGACCCTTACCTCCCAAGGGGGCGGAGTCCCAGGCTCCTGGCCCCCAGCCGGCCCGTGGCCCCTCCTTGAGGCCGGTTCTGGGAGGAACGTGAGGGACAGAAGTTTCCTGGCTAACAGCGAGAACTTCAGCCAGAGGTGTGGCCGAATGGGCATCTAGGCAGCAGCTAAGTGGGGGTGGGGGTGGCCTGAGCACCCCACCCCGCGCGCGCGCGGGGACTTCAGTCTTGCGTTCTGCACAGCCGCCTGCAGTTGGCCGTGCCTCGGCGGCCTTGGGCAGGGCTGCAGGCTCACGAGGAGTCCTCAGGTGCAGAGCACCGTCCCCAGCCTGTTTCCAGGCAGGGCCTGAGTTCTTCCTTGCACTGACAGACGCGGAAACTGAGGCTCAGAGAAGCTAAATAAACTGCCAAGGTCACCGAGGGGCCGCTCCTGCTCCAGGGCGAGTCACCCCGGTGGTAGGGTCAGAGGGGGCCAGGGTCCACCTTGACCTGCGCCCCCGTGCTACCTGCAGGCCAGCGGTCCCCGGCTGGAGGCAGGAGGAGGCTCAGGTTGAGGGCAGGGTCCGGAGCCGGGCTTGCTTTGCTGGCCTTCCCGCGGCCACAGCGGGATCTTCGCAGCTCACGCTTCTCTTGGACTAAGCCCTTCCCCTTTTCCCTGCAAGGTGCCTGCTTGGCAGGGGTCTCAGGAGACCCCGCTCCTTGCTCTGACCACCCTCCCCCTCCCCCTCTGAGGACACATAAGCAGGACTCTTCCTTTGGCTCCTTGGAGTATGCAGGGTCTCCTTCTTTGGCTTGGGGGGCTCTGCTGCTCAGGCCCAGGCCCCCCCAGCAGGGTCTGCACAGCCCCTGCTCTCCACCCCCCCCCCCCCACTCGGCTGTCAGTTCTGCAGGCGAGAGGCCCTGGAGGCCTCCCGGTCAGGTCTGCCTTCCACACCACCTGTCTGCCTGAGCTTTGTCCTGGCTGTCAGAGGCTGCTGCTGTCAGACCCGCGCCCAGCCAGGTGCAGACACGGTCCTGACTCACGAGGACGCCAGCCCCCCCCCCCCCCCCCCACGGGACTGTGCAGGCACACCCAGAGAAACACCCCCGCCTGGCACGTGTGCGCGCACACAAATGGGGGTGCAGGCAGGGGAGGCGCCGCCTTCCAGTGTCTCCTCTGGGGCGCACGCATGACACACACATGCAGGAAGGGGCATCAGGAAGCTGGGAGCTGTGCCTGTGCCCCCACCACGCCCAGGCCACCCCGGGCCTGCGCTCGTGCCTACCAGCAGCTTCCTGTGTTCGGGATGCAAACACGCCGTCACTCTAGGGCTGGCCAGAGCCCTTTGGACCAGCCCCAGCAAACCCATGCCTACTTCCCGTTTTTCCGCTCGGCTGGCCCCGAGGACACTGGAAAACTTCCTGGTGTTTCGGCCTCAGTGGACCTTCCTCACCTGCCACCCTCCCCACTCTGCAAACACATGCACCTGCCAGGTCCTCAGAGGCACCTCCCCCAGCTGTCCCCGGGCTTCCCTCTGAGGACGGGCCTGGCCGAGGCTCCCGGGAGCCGTGGGGCTTCCCTCCCTTTGCCACTATTGCCGGAGACCTTGCCAAGTCCTGGCTTCTGCTCTCCACCCCCTCTCCCCCCGCAAGGCTGGGGCCAGCTGGTGTGCACAGAGGAGTCCCCAGCACTCACCTCCTTACCTGCAGAGCCTCTGCCAGGCTGGGCCCTGGCGTCCTGGCTGGCACCACTGGGGAGTCCCTGCTGAGATGAGGTGAGACCTCCGGGGCAGGCTGATGCCAGCGAGGGCGGCGCAGGGCTCTGGGCCCCGCTGTGCTCCCTCGAGCACTCCATGCCAGGCTGGCCAGCGTGCTGACTCCCGGCCCAAACACTGGGCCCTGCCTCTTGCTGGCTGTGCGGCCCAGGCGGGTCATCTCTCTCTGGGCCAAGCTCCAGCTCTGGGAAGCTGCTGAGCCCCGCTGAAGAGTGAGGAGGGCGAGAGGCGAGAGGTGGCAGCCCCGTAATATTTAGGGTGGGAAGTGGGGCTCGGTAGGGCCCGTGGCTAAGGACTTCGTGCAGCTTGGAGACCACACAAGATCAGTTAGGGGGTGCCGGGCCTGGGACTTCCTGGGGCAGCCGCGCTGGGGTCAGCCCCACGAAGGGGGAGCCCCGAGGCCGAGCGGCTGCAGTAATGGTTTACAGCTGTGGATATGCTCACCCCTCAAAATGCACTCTATTGTTAGCACTAAAAACTGGCGCTTTGTAGGCAGTGACTCAGGGAGGCAGAGAAAGAAGAAGCGGAGGGGTGCTGAGACACCCCCAAGCAGAGGGTCCCCCCGGGGGCCCGTCTTCCCTTCTGGAAGAAAGGAAACAAAACCCGCCCTTCCCACCGTGGGCTGGCTCAGTGCAGAGCCCGCGTTCGTACACTCACCAGGCATTTAATGAGCACGTAGTGTATCGCAGGGACTATGACAGACCTGGGGGCACAGAGAGGACAGAGTGCGGCACCCGCAGCTCCTACCACAGCACCGGGCGGATTTTACTGTGGTCACATCTCAGACAAGGAGCTAAGGCTCGGAGGAGGAGGGGCCCTGCCCGCTTTGCTGTCCATACCTCTGCCAGGGAGCAGTGTGGTGGGCAGTGGGGTAAGCTACCACCTGCAACGCTGCCATCCGTATCCTGGCTGCTCTGTGTGCCATCCAGCTCCCTGCTAGAGCACCTGGGACAGCAATGGATGATGGCCCCAGTGCTTGGAGCCCTGCAGCCCATGTGGGAGAGCAGGATGGAGCTCCTGGCTTCTGGCTTTGGCCTGGCCCCGTCCTGGCCATTGTGGCTATTTGGGGAGTGAATCAGCAGATGGGAGGTATCGCTAGAGCTCTCTCTCTGGCCTTCCCTCTCTCAGTCACTCTGCCTTTAAATACATACATACATACATAAATTAATGCTCTTTTTTAAAAAATGCCTCTGACATCATAAGGCTGCCTGCCCATGGGCCCTTCTTGGACGAAGCAGACCTCCGTTGACTTTGACTTTGCCACTTACTGGCTGTACGACCAGGGACAGGCAACTCCACCTGTCTGAGCCGTTGCTTCCTGTCTGCAGAGGCTCCTGGGACTGACCTGATGGGTTAAGAAGAGTAAGGTAGGCAAACACCCAATCAGTGCCCAGCTCACTGTGGGCATCGTTCTGGGTCTCAGAGGATGTGGGCTAGGAGTCATCAGGACCCAAGTTGAATCCCTGCTGTGTGACTGTGGAGAAGTCACTTGCCGTCTCTGTGCCTTGTTGCCTTCTCCTCGCCGTCTGGAGAAGGGATGGCAGGGTTTCATTCACCTGTCTGCCTGGTGGTGTTGTTCGTGAGGGTCTCCCATCCTGGCTGGGAGCTGCCTTAAAACACTTAGCGCCACCCACAGAGGAAAACCGACAGAAACCCAGAGGGAAAACACACAGAGAAAAATCTGGAAAAGAATCTTTTCTAAAAACTTCAAAAATGGGGCGGTGCTACGGCTCACTAGGCTAATCCTCTGCCTGTGGCGCCGGCATCCCAGGTTCTAGTCCTGACTGGGGCACCGGTTCTGCCCCGGGGTTGCTCCTCTTCCAGTCCAGCTCTCTGCTGTGGCCCGGGAGTGCAGTGGAGGATGGCCCAGGTCCTTGGGCCCTGCACCTGCATGGGAGATCAGGAGAAGCACCTGGCTCCTGGCTTTGGATCGGTGCAGCGCGCCGGCCGTGGCAGCCATTTGGGGGGTGAACCAACGGAAAAGGAAGACCTTTCTTTCTGTCTCTCTCTCTCTCACTGTCTAACTCTGACTGTCAAACAAACAAACAAACAAACAAAAACTTCAAAAATGTCTTTAAAAAGAAAAAAACACGAGCTTTTCTTTTCACGTCCTGGGCTAGCAGGGGTTTGCCGGTGGGTTCCCATTTCCCAGACAGCTGGCATTGCTGTCATCGCCTGAGCTGGGGGATTGGCCCCTGGAGGGGTCCCCGCCTGGCACAGAGCAGGTGTCCAGCAGGGGTAGCGTGGTCTTCCGTGGGGGCAGGAGCTGTCCAGTGAGGGCGAGGCTGGACCCGCCCCCCACCCTGCCCCGTGAGGGCTGGCGCGTGAAAGCTGAGTCGGTTTCTCAATGGCCTTGAATGCCAG